GTGGTTTCTGGTATTTTAAAAACTTATAAGAGTCACTGGGTGCAATACATTTGCAACATCTGGTGTGGTTAACAGCTGAACTGGAAATCTTTTTGAATTCAATGTCTAGCTTGAAGCTTTGAATCATATTTCTTAGTGCTTAGCACTATGGGATAAAAACTAAATGGCAATTGAGGTTTTAAAAACAGTTGCATTGAAAGCCTCAGGTACTCGGAAATCTGATGTTTCCATTATGTAGCAGGCCTTTACCGTTGTATGCTCTTCTGGGAAGGAACCCAGTTCCTTTCTTGTTCCTGAGATTAAATATAAATATGTGAAGATACTTGTGCAAAGATTTTGCAGTTCCTCATATTCTTTGTTCTTTTTTTTTTTTCCGGTCCTTTGGTGGAAGCAATGTAGTTTTGCTGTCTGTCTTTGTTGGCCTTTATTCAACATATGTTTTATATTGTTTTCATAATTTAGCTATTTTATGTTTTTTTTTGTTTTTGTTTTGTTTTTGCAGTTGCTTTGAGTAAACGTCATAAGCACTGATGAATATTGTCTTTTCAGATCAATCACAAATATCCAGAAAGAAGACTTCTTGTGGCAGAATCATGTGGAGATCTAGCACCATATTTTCCTGTGCGTATATATGCAATAATGCACACAAATGTATTACATTTACCTATTTCTAGGCATTCGTTTTTAAAAAGTAGGTCAAGTTTATAGGAGACAGAATTCTAAAAAATGACAACTCCCCTTCCTCTGTCTACCCTACAGCCTTTCGGTTAGAGAGAGAGAGTCTGAAAGCACATGCCTTCTGCTGTGCCCATAATGTTCTGTGACATCAGTTTTAAGGGTTACAGTTATGAAAATTGTAGGATGAAAGAATGATGAAGAAGAAAGTCCCTAAAGCATAAACTGCTGAAAAGGACATGACTAAGAAATATCTAAAAAATTTAATTTCGATTTCCTTGACTGTACATGAAAGCAGTATGTGGTGTGCGTGTGTGTGTATGTGTGTGTGTGTGTGTATGTGTGAGTGTTAATGTGTGTGTGTGTGTGTATAATGTGTGTGTGTGTATATGTGTGTATATATATATATGTATTGTGTGTGTATATATATAATATATGTATGTGTGTGTGTGTGTGTGTATATATATATATATATATATATATATATATGATATATATGTATATATATATATATATATATATATATATATATATATATATATATATATATATATGTGTGTGTGTATGTATGTATGTGTGTGTATGTGTGTATATATATATATATATATATATATATATATATATATATATATATATACTTTTTTTATTTTGTTTTGTTTTGCGAGTAAAGGGCACAGGTGTGTTCTGTCTCCTAAATGTTAGTTTGCTTATTTGCTTTCAGAAAGAAATCAGGAGCTCTCTTGTGCTGTCCATGTTACAACAAATGCTGATGGAAGACAAAGCAGATATGGTGAGAGAAGCTGTGATTAAAAGCCTCGGCATTATTATGGGGTACATTGATGATCCTGACAAATATCAACAGGTGAGATTATTGTGAAAATTCCTTACACATTCATCCTTTTGTAGCCTCCCCCACAATACGATTACTGCTGGCAGCTATAGCTGCAGGCAGTGATTGCATGAAGATCCTGTTTGCATTAAGTGATGCATTCTCACAGACGTAGCTTGTTGAATACAGAATACAGACTGTTAAAGTTGCCTGTGTGCATGCGTCATGCTATGCACATGGCGGCAGATGCCTTGTATAGCCATCTTCAGCCATTCAGGTCTATGGGTGGCTGTACGCAGCACCAGCGGATGCTAAAATACAGTTTGTTTGCACTGTACAGAGGAATGATGTGAATGAGCACTTAGCGCATGTTTTATAAAAGTTGAAATACTTGAATCATGATTTTACTGTTTTTTTGTTTTTTTTTTTTTGTTTTTTTTCCCTACAACTGATTTAGGGTTTTGAGCTCTTGCTAACAGCCTTAGGTGACCCATCAGAAAGGGTGGTGAGTGCCACCCACCAGGTGTTCTTACCGGCCTATGCTGCTTGGACTATGGAACTTGGCAATCTCCAGTCTCATCTTATTCCCACTCTTCTCAGCAAGATTGAAAAACTCCTCAGGGTATGTTTAGTCTGCAAGTTATGGGAATATTTTGTTAGATTTGTGCCTGTAAATAACAGCGTGCACAGACATGTCAGCAATAGTTCCCAGGTTCATAGCAACACTCCCACAACAAAACGCAATGAGTAAATGCTACTGAATGTTGTGGTTTCTGCAAATTGCATTTAGTATGTCATTTAAGGTGTCTTGGATGCATGCAGTAAAACTTGTCGGGTGATCTTGTATGCTTTTTTTAAATGCAAATATTCATCAGTAAACTGAGCCAAATACAACGGTAAATAATTCAGCCTTTGTACAGTGACCATTGACCCCCCAAAACATAAAGCGATTAGAACTCCAAACTTTTATGGTTGTCTTCAAAACAGGAGCTGAGTCAAAATCTCCGACTGGGAACACCTGTTGCAGCTGTGAAAGGTGGATTATATTTTTACTTTTGGGAGACTTTGTTTTATTTCCTGTTATGTGGACGAGAAGTGAATTAGTGGTTATAAAGCCTAAAATTTTTTACCTTAATACTTTCCTTGTATTAGGGTACATGAATGTTTAGGCATCGGTATTGCCCTCACACGCTTGCTTTTACTTACCTGAGACCTCACTCGGTCCAGCGCTGTACATGTCTGCAGCTCTTCTCTCCTGTCAATTCTCAGTGTTTGCTGAGGCAGCAAGAGCCAATGGCCGTCAATCAAAGCCAATGAGGAGGGGGCCAGGGCCAAGTCCCACTGTGTGTCTATGGACGCAGGCAGTGGGGTCAGGAGTGAGCCCACACACGTTCCCCCATAGGAAGCAACATCCTATGGGGGCACTTGCTGAAGGGCCGGAGCCAGGAGTGCTGTCAGGGGACCTGGGAAGAGGAGGTTTGAGGCTGCTCTGTGCAATTCCATTGCACAGAGCAGGTAAGTATAAACCTGTTTGTTGTTTAAAAAAAAATTACATTTACAATCACTTCAAAAATCTTCCCAATGTTAGATTTCTTAAAAAGAAAAATTGCCCTCTCTATTCATTCCTATGAAGAGTTCCTACTCCAAATCATGGAGAACAAACTCCTTTATAGGAGTGCATGCACTAGTTTAAAGCAGTTACCCTGATGGATTTCTTGTAGCTAGGGAGTATAAATAAATAATACATTGTGTTTTTCTGGTATTATATGACTTCTTTTTCTCTTCAGGAAGGAGAACATGGGCTGGACGAACACAAACTCCACATGTACCTATCTGCCTTGCAGTCTCTCATCCCTTCCCTCTTTGCTACTGTATTACAAAACGCACCATTTACAAGTAAAGCCAAGCTTCAGGGAGAGATACCCCAGATAGAAGGTAAGAAAAGGTCATGCTGTCATATCACATCCCTATTATGAGCTATGTTCTTTTTGTGCCCTGGAGATCCGCGCATATGTGTATTGGACCGATGTTGCAATTGTTGGCAGTGAAAGAACTATTCCCGTTTGTCTCCCATTTGTCTCTTGTTGCATACCATACATTAGTGGTTATAAAGCAGTAGTGGTTTATTCACACATACACTCAAAAAAAACTTTGATATGCTTTTTCCAACTTCTATTACAGTCTGTCTACTTGTCCTTAAAATAGATCTGCTGGCTGTGTGATTTTCCTGCATCTGACTCAGCTGTCCCAACATGTGAGACTGTGTAATATCCTATGCCACAGAGTACTGCTTTCTTATGGTTTTCATAGTGTGCTTTATATCTTTTTTTAATCGTAGTGTGTATATGTATAAATGCACAGTATATGCGTCTGTGTATCCATATCCATCCACATACCTTTCACCTGACTAACTTTAGTTCGGCTAGTACTCAGTAATAATAATACTGTACCAATAATAGCTGGGATGGAAATGTAAAGCGTAAAAAAATAGTTACTTTTCATAGAGAAAATGGAGCTCCAGACTCTGCTGAAAGGGAAGATCAACCCATCTAAGCTTTGATCCTCCCCTGTAGCAAAGATCACATGACCAAGTGCCTAGACGTTAGGTGGCTAGCACTGAATGGGGCCTGGAGCAGCAGATTCTCTTGTTGGGGTAAAAATATCATCCCTTCTGTTATTTATTAACCCATTTCTGCAAAACTGTTAGGACCAGTGTTGACCAGCTTTAGTTCACTTCAGATTTGTTTTCTTCCCCATACAAGTAGATGAGAATGAAGAAGCAGCATGAAATCACAGGTGAATGCACCAGCAAGGAATTCTTAATGGTTTCTGAATGATCTTCAACAGATGTCAAAAGGACACTGTATTTTGCACACCACACCTCATAGACACAGACCCTTAATATAGCTTTGTTAATATTTGTGTGCAGGGATACTTTAATGTTTAGTCTGGTAGTAAAATCAGTTCAGAATTCGTACAGAGATATGCAAGCTCTGCCAAAAACTGTTTAGTACTTGGTAAGCAATTTTACATTTACAAGAGCTGTGGCTTGGTTTACCATTCACTAAGCTCAGAATGAAACATAAAATGTGGAACAACCTGCAGTAAGATGTTGCAAAACATTTAAACGACTGTAATGTGAAAGTATATTTGTGTGTGTGGAATTGAAATGATCCTGCAGTATGCTAAATCTTTCACTGAACTCTGTATAGGAAATATTAGAGATACACAAGAGCCTTCATAGTCAGTTGTGTTTGGGAAATGGAAGAATGGCTGTTCACTAAACAGGATTGGCTAGAAAAATGTATCTTTATATGAAATTGCTAGAAACCTTTCTCCCATGAATACAAAAACTAATGTACATTAATCTCCTTGATACTGTCTACAAAATGTAAACGTTAAAGCGAGCTCTTTTCAATCCTGGGTATAAGCAGCCGGCATAAGGAAACCTCTAAAACCCTTATTATTATTATTATTATTATACAGTATTTATAAAGCACCAATAGTTCACTCAGCGCTGTACATTACAAAGGGGGACAGAACATGTGACAGAACAATAACAATACAATGCAAAACATGAGGGGATTGTGGGCCCTGCTCTTTGGAGCTTACAATCTAGGAGGGAGGTTAAACATATTGATATTTAAAAATGCAGCGCTTAAATAAATGTAATAAATATAATAAAATGTGAGTGTGACAGAGAGCGCAAGTTGATGCACTAATATGCTAAAAAGAGATCTACCATCCTTCGAGTTGTAAAATGACCTAACACACACTGGAGCCACCCCGGATTACCTTAGCTGCCTTTCTGACACTCCCCCCCCCCCCCCCCCGCCTTTTTTTAGTCTCCTGCTTTTTTCCTGGAGCCCCTTGCCCCTACATTGATCTCCCACTCTCCCTACATACTTCCCAGCCTTTCTTCCTACTACTTAAATAAAGGAATGCGCTAAAACCACAAACTATTCCTAATTTAGTGTAGAAACATTAGTGCAAAAAATATATATATCTATTCTCAATATCAAAAAATATCAAAATTATGTGCAAAACAATTTTTTAGTGCATAAGTAATTTCAATAATTAAATTTGTGAATATAAAAAATGTGTCCAATTCTGAATTTCTTCAAATGTCCAAATAAATCCTTTTCAAATTCAGGTGCTCTCAAAGAAATTGTGCCAAAATCCACCACCAAAAGTAAAGTTGGGTAACTCACCAGAGCTCCATGCTAATCAATCTCTAGATCAGCAAAAAACGCTTTTTGCTCTGGGAGCAGATGCAATGAATCAACTTCTCAGGTGTGATGATCAATAGCTACACAATCATCCATAAGGTAGGTATCCACCACTCAATATAATGGTTCCAGGAGCATTATATCACTCTCTCTTTTTATATCTCTCCACCGAGGTCATGTTTGGGAATGAAAGAGAAAATCATGGTGCAGCCAATTTTTTTTATAAAAGTATCCAACAATTTAATAAAAATTTACACTCACAAAAAGGGTGTCTTCACCGACACCAGTATAACAGCATAAAACAGCAAATGGTATAACAGTCTCCTGTTATACAACAGTTATACAAGGGGCGGTCCCTTGAAGACGTCATTCATGACGAAACTAGTAGGGCTTGCTGGATGCTGACGTTTGTGGAGAAGATTGAGTCACGAGCGCTGTAGTGAGTGTGAGGGGAACAGGAGACTGTTATACCATTTGCTGTTTTATGCTGTTATACTGGTGTCGGTGAAGACACCCTTTTTGTGAGTGTAAATTTTTATTAAATTGTTGGATACTTTTATAAAAAAATTGGCTGCACCATGATTTTCTCTTTCATTCCCAAACATGACCTCGGTGGAGAGATATAAAAAGAGAGAGTGATATAATGCTCCTGGAACCATTATATTGAGTGGTGGATACCTACAGTTGCAAGAAAAAGTATGTGAACCCCTTGGGATTACGTGGAGTTTTGCATGAATTGGGCATAAATTGTGCTCTGAACGTCATCTAAGTCACAACAATAGAAGAACACAGTCTGCTGAACATAATACTACACAAACATTAGATGCTGCCATGGTTTAATTGCACATAACATGTAAACATTCACAGTGCAGGGAGGAAAAAGTATGTGAAGCCCTAGCTTAATGACTTCTCCCAGAGCTAATTGGAGCCAGGAGTGAGCCAACCTTGACTCCAATCAGTGTGATGATATTGGATGTGTTGCTGACAGCTGCCCTGCCCTTAAAAAAACACACACCTGTTTTGGGTTTACTGGTTTCAAGAAGCACTGTCTGATGTGAACCATGCCTTGCAGAAAAGAGCTCTCAGAAGACCTACGATCAAGAATTGTTGACTTGCATGAAGCTGGAAAGGGTTACAAAAGTATCTCCAAAAGCCTTGATGTTCATGTGTCCACGGTAAGACAGACTGTCTACAAAGGGAGAAAGTTTAGCACTGTTGCTACTCTCCCTAGGCGTGGTCATCCTATAGAAATGACTGCAAGAGCACAGCGCAGAATGCTGTGTGAGGTAAAAAAGGATCCCAGAGTGTCCGCTAAAGACCTACAGAAATCTCTGGCACATGCTAACATTTTTGTTGACACATCTACAATAAGGAAAACATTAAACAAGAATGGAGTACATGGGAGGACACCACGGAGGAAGCCATTGCTGTCCAAAAAGAATATTGCAGCACGTTTGAAGTTTGCAAAAGAGCACCTGGATGTTCCACAGCACTACTGGCAAAATATACTGTGGACAGATGAAACCAAGATTGAGTTGTTTGGGAAGAACACACAACACTATGCGTGGAGAAAAAAAGGCACAGCACACCAACATCAAAACCTCATCCCCACTGTAAAACATGGCGGAGGGAGCATCATGGTTTGGGGCTGCTTTGCTGCCTCAGGGCCTGGAAGGATTGTTGTCATTGATGGGAAAATTAATTCCAGAGTTTATCAAGACATTTTGCAGGAAAACGTACGACCATCTGTCCTCCAACTGAAGCTCCGCAGAGGATGGGTGATGCAACAGGACAATGACCCAAAGCATACAAGTAATTCAACAAAACAATGGCTGCAACAGCACAGAATACGCCTTCTGGAGTGGCCCAGTCAGAGTCCTGACCTCAACCCGATTGAAATGCTGTGGCATGACCTTAAGAGAGCAATTCACACCAGACATCCCAAGAATATTGCTACACTGAAACAGTTTTGTGAAGAGGAGTGGTCCAAAATTACTCCAGATCATTGTGCAGGTCTGATCTGCAACTACAGGAAACGTTTGGTTGAGGTTATTGCTGCCAAAGGAGGGTCAACCAGTTATTAAGTCCAAAGGTTCACATACTTTTTCCTCCCTGCACTGTGAATGTTTACATGTTATGTGCAATTAAACCATGGCAACATCTAATGTTTGTGTAGTATTATGTTCAGCAGACTGTGTTCTTCTATTGTTGTGACTTAGATGACGTTCAGAGCACATTTTATGCCCAATTCATGCAAAACTCCACGTAATCCCAAGGGGTTCACATACTTTTTCTTGCAACTGTACCTTATGGATGATTGTGTAGCTATTGATCATCACACCTGAGAAGTTGATTCATTGCATCTGCTCCCAGAGCAAAAAGCGTTTTTTGCTGATCTAGAGATTGATCAGCATGGAGCTCTGGTGAGTTACCCAATTTTACTTTTGGTGGTGGATTTTGGCACAATTTCTTTGAGAGCACCTGAATTTGAAAAGGATTTATTTGGACATTTGAAGAAATTCAGAATTGGACATTTTTTTATATTCACAAATTTAATTATTGAAATTACTTATGCACTAAAAAATTGTTTTGCACATAATTTTGATATTTTTTGATATTAATTGAGAATAGATATATATATTTTTTGCACTAATGTTTCTACACTAAATTAGGAATAGTTTGTGGTTTTAGCGCATTCCTTTATTTAAGTTATAGCACTAAGAAATTTATTTGGTTTCTTTGAGGTGGAATTGCTGCTTTAAAGTATTAAGGGTGTGGCGCTTTTATTACACTTGTGATATTTCTTCCTACTACCTTTCTTTTTCATGGCCTACATCGCTGCATGCCTCTACACTTATTAATGGAATAGGTCACTCTATCTCCCCTTCCCTCCACCCCCTCCCAGTCCAATATGAAGGATCTGATCCAGGGTACAATGTTTGGGAAAGGAGAGACCATATAAACGGAACGAGGGCCCTCTATAATTATCTTTGCCACTTTCATAACAGTTTAACTCTGTATACTGAATGCTATGTAAAACATGCTTTATAAGAAATATACATTGAATATGGTAGTGTTTACTGTATCCTTGCTTTTTTTTGTATTGTGACATTTAAAAATCTAAGTGGCATTAAAAGAAAAAGCAATCAGCGCTAGTAAATTCAGACTCACCAATTACATGCACAGAAAGGGGTTGTCTGCAGCAGAAATTAACCAAGGAGACTGGATCAATATAATTTGGAACTTGATATATTAATTTCTGTTGGTTGTTCAGAAGATACACTGTTTCACAATAAAGTTTATTTTAATGCAAATCAGAGCTTCCCTACCTGTCACTGATATCCAGTAAGCCGATTCAGAGCCGTTACACAGACTAAGGATCAGGTCGGATTGGCTGCTAATTTCTTCTGACAGATTTTAACTGCTGGTCTGTGTGGGACTCTTAAGTGATTTAGTCAACTATCGTGGACATTATTATTACTGACTTTTTATACTGCCTTGATTTATACAAGGTTTTTAGTGTTCTCCTAGGGTATGTTCTCTGTACTGTCTTCTGGCACATTAAAAATATAAGCAATGATTAGAATAAGAAAAGAACATTTCATAGTGAGAGGTGAATTGCAGCTAACATGCACCCTTATGGTGTTTTTCTGATGTGTTACTGGGCTGTTGAAAGCATTACTGAGTATCAAGTGACTGTAAATACCAGTACCTTACCACCTGCTATTTCGTCTGATTTTCTTACCTTTACACTGAAGCATTGTTTGACTTATGTACTATTTGGGCGTGTTCTTGTGTGTGAGTAAATCCTTCTCCATTAGTTGTGTTGACTTACAGGTTACAGTTGGAATATCACTGGTTTTGTGTTTTGGTATGATGGCAATTTCTGTTCCTTTTATATTGGGTTGAGATTGATTATAGTGTAAAAAAGTCCCTTTTTGCTTTTACTTACCCTTGCGGGAAAGCTGAGTGACTATGACCATGTTTTCACGTGAAGCTAGAGCTTAGTTTATGATGGTAATGTGGTATTGCCACCTCTGAAAGTCTACAAAGGAAATCCCCATAGTTGTCACGTTGCTTTGTGATGCTTTGATGTTACTATGCCAGTTCTGTTTATGATTACTGATTAGTATCTTGTCAGAGAAAATTTGTAGGTTGAAGAGAGACGCTTTCCATATTCTAGAAGCCATATCTAACTATTGCTTACATTATCTTTTATAGTGACTAGATTTCCTCGGCCCATCTCGCCTCTACAAGATGTACCCACCATCATTGGCAGTCGTGAGCAGCTAGCTATACTACTTCAGCTTTATGATTACCAACTGGAACACGAGGGTACCACGGGATGGGAAACTTTACTTTGGGTTGTCAATCAGCTGTAAGTTGGTGTCTTGTTTCCACACAATTTTTCAAAATACGTGGCATCAGATATGTTTTCATGTTAAATGTATGCATCTGTGCTAAATAATTTGTAAGTGTAACAGTTACAAGTATAGATCACCTCTCATCAAGTTATAATTGTTCCCAAGAAGATGTTTATCTGCTTTTCCTTCCAGAAGGACAGGGCCATGTTTGTTCGGGTAATATGAAGGTTCAACATCTACTTAATGGGTGATACAGTCACTTAAATCATGACACGTCACTGGGCAAAAGCAAATGCTTCCTCCTGTATGTAACAGACCAATAATATCATCTTGTCCTTAAAGAGGAGCTCCAGTCTCACCCCCCCCCCCCCAAAGAAAAGTGCCAAATGTGGCAGTGGAGTGGGGGAGGACTTTCCCTTTTGGAAGACCTCAACCATAACGTCCTATTGCAAAATCTCAAGCTTCAATGCGTAGCTCAAGCTATTATTCTGGTAACATATGCCTCTGCAGTGTATTTCGTTGAGGTGGTTTTTTTTTTTTTTTTTTCAACTCAGTGGAGTGAAGGAGTAATCATGAGATCCATCTAAAAAAAAAAAAAAAAAAAGTCCTTCACACTGCATCCTCTTTTCATTACTTGAGAGTCCCCTGGAGAGTCCCCATATGGCTCAAGCAGTTAAGCCATTTCATTACTTTGGGAAAATATCTCAATGCTCTACTATCCCTGATCCTGTGAGGAGGGAGAAAGCAGAGAGCTGCTGCTCTGAGGCACAGAGTTGAATCAAGATCAGGCTCAGGTAAGTATTGAGTGGGGGGGGGGGGGGGAATGACTGCACAAAGGTGTTTTTTTTTGTTTTTGTTTATTTTTTTTTTAACCTTAATGCAGAACATTTATTAAGGTAAAAAAAAAAAACCTTCAGCCTTCAAAACTTGCAGTCCTGGCTCCTTTGTTATGGGGACACACACTGCTTGCTCGCTTCTGACCTGTGTGTCTCCGAGGCCATGCTCCATAGATGCACACAGCAGGATGTGGCACCCCCCCCCCACACACACACACACGCACACGCACACGCACACACACACACACACACACACACATGCCTTTTCCTGCTGTTTGAGTCCCTATGTGAAGAGAAAGTAATGGGAGAAGAGATGCAGCTATTCAGAGTGCTGATTTCTGCTCTTCCCCTTCACGCATTATGGCGTACTTTTGGGCATGCACAGTTTGCGCACCTGCAGAGCCACGCAGTGGCGCGATCTGTCACCGGCCGTGTACCTCGGACACGGCCGATGACAGATCTGAGTACCGGCCCCCGTTGCCAGTACCATGTGACCAATAACAGCAGGTCACATGACAGTTGTATACAATGGATGGCTTCATTCATGCCATCCATTGTATATTAGTGTGCCTAGCTGTGAATGGTCACAGCGATCACATGCACAAGCTGCGCCAATCACAGCCCAGCTGTGTCATGTGATTAGCCGTGGCCAAATCACAGCTAAGCACAACAACAAAAAAAAACCCCTGAATGAATCGATGTCATTCAGGTAAATGCTTGCTTATAGCAAAGTAATTCTTTGCTATAAGCAAATTGTGTATAAAAAGAAAATACTGATCACTTCCCTACAGTAGTACTATGGTAACATTTGTACTACTTTGGTCATAGTGAAATATGAAAAAAAAATAAAAAAAAAAAGAAAAACAATGTAGTAAGTTAAAAATAATCAAAAAAAAATTATATTTTTTTTTTCCCTACTGTCACCAGTCAATGTCCCTGATCACCGCCATGCCAGTTATATGATGACGCTGTACTGCACTGGTGACAGTATGTAAAAAACAAATGGTGAAATAATTTTTTTCATTTTTTCATTTTCCGAAAAATTATGACAAAAAAAATACAATTTCAAAATACTCGCATGCCTCCTATGAAGTATGTCGGACTGTCTACTTTGCAAAAAGGGGTCATTTGGAGGATATTTGTACTATTCTGATATTCTTGGACCTCAAGAAATTAGATTGGCTGTCAGTACTTCAGGATTGATCAATATTCAGATCTATACCATAGTTTGTGAACTCTATAACTTTCCTACAAACTAAAAAATACATCCTAATTTGGGTTATTTTCACCAAAGACATGTAGCAGAATACATCTTGGCCTAAATTTATGAAGAACAATTATTTATTTGCAAACTTTTATAACAGAAACAAAGAAAAACGTGTTTGTTTTTTTCCAAAATTTTCAGTCATTTTTTTGTCAATTTAGCAAAAAATAAAACCCCCAGTGGTGATTAAATACCACCAAAAGAAATCTCTAGTTGTGTGAAGAAAATGATAAAATTTTAGTTTGGGTACAATGTTGTATGACCGCGCAATTGTCATTCAAAGTGTGAGAGCGCTGAAACCTAAAAAAATGGCCTGGGCAGGAAGGGGGTAAAAGTGCCCGGTATGGAAGCGGTTAAGCATGCGTATCGCATTTCAATTCGGAACGCTTTTAAGTGGCTAATCAACCAATTTAATTTAATAGGAAAAATATGAAAATGTTACAGGTTTCAGCTGTGTGTTTTTAGTCTTTTGCCTGAAGTTCGGTATTATGTTTAATTAAAGTTTTCTTTTTGTATTTTTTAGATTACCCCAACTTATTGAGATAGTTGGTCGCATTAATGTTGCCTCTACGGCTTGCGTTCATGAGTTTTCAAGGTATTTCTGGCGACTGTGCAGAACATTCGGAAAAATATTTACAAATACAAAGGTAACCATGCAAACGTTTTAGAAATTGAATAGCCTACATGTGTGCTGGTATGTGCCTGAAGCATCTATTCACCTACTTTGTATTCTTATGACCTAACAATACTATAATATCAATCATTATCTATATTTTCAGGTGAAGCCACAGTTCCAGGAAATATTGAGGCTGTCTGAGGAAAATATTGGTAAGGGTCATTAAATACGATAAATAAAAGTGACACTTTATCATTTCTAACTGACACTGAGAATACTTGTAACCACCTATGAGAGCATTAGAGATGGCCCTATACGTTGTTCATTGTGAATAATGTTGCTTGTATGAACTAGTTAATGCACCGTCCATTCATTTGGTGATTTGGGGGTTATACAGTAAACATTCTGGTCCAATTGATTAGAGATTGGCAAGCATACCTCAATCAGCTAACATTAATGAAGTATTTGTCAACGTCCTAGTGGTTAGAAAGCTCTCTTCTCCTTCCTGAAGAACAACTTAGCAGCTTTCTGAATGCATCAGATCCATTGTCTTGAGACAGCCACTCGCTTCTACATGCAAGTGGTACCCCTAACTCATCTTCACTGAATCATGTAAACTACTTTGGGCTATGGATGATGCTCAACTAACTACTGATAAATTTTGTTTTGGTCACTTATCTTCAAACTAACGTATGACAGATCGAATCCTGGTTTTCTTGATAAAAATGATTTTCTATTTTGCACTGAAGTTCCTTTTTCTTTATAACTTTGTGGTCTGTATATACATATATATATATATTGGGGAAAAAAGCAAACTTTTACTGGACATGAAGGCAAAAATGTGTGGTTGTTGCTTCTCCTTTGTTGATGGGGCTGTACCAAACATTGTTGTCGTGTAACAAACTGGGGTCATTTTAATTCAAATCCCTCTACTGTAGAGGTAATCTATAAAAGTCAATAACTTAGGACACTTCAATGAAAACAACTGTGAACAGTTACAGACTGGGTCAGCCAACCAGTTGAACCTCTGAAAGAGGCAATCCAAATATACAGCAGACTGGAGTGCACACAAATTGGAGAGGAAGGGCGTTGGCCCATTTCCTGAACACTTGTGTCTGTTTTTTTTTTCTTTCTTCTTTTTTATAGAGGTAGACAAACTTCACAAGTCTATTAATACTTGTCAGCAGTTCAAGTTACAGGTTGTTATAATGTCTGTCTGGAAAATTTGAAATGTTTTGTTAGTTATTTAGTGCTTCGAGATAACGCTGGGTGTATTTTTCTTTAGGTCTTTACTAAGGCTACGTTCACACTAACGTTGTGTGCATGCGGCAGAGAGGCGTTTGGGAAGCGTTTTTACCGCTTCCCAAACGCCTCTGGCAATTCTGCACATTGCAGCACATGGTGCTGTTCTAACGGGAGCGGTAGCTGCGCGGTGCGGCAAAACGGACGCCTCTGGACGAGTCAGGAGGCGTTGAAGCCTCCTATTCTTGTCTATGGTGCCGCTCCACAAATGACCGGCGTTTGTGGCGCGGTTGCGGGGCGTTTGCGGAGCGGTAACACCATACAAACTTCATCCTAGGTGTTTGTGGGGCGTTTTTAACGCTCGGCAAACGCCTAGCAACCACCGCTAAACCGCGCATGCGGCGTTTGCGGAGCGTTGAAAAACGCTCTGCAAACGATGGACCAACGCTTGCCCAACGCTATAGGGGCGTTTGGCAAGTGTTGGTAAAACAGTCAAGTGTGAACGAGCCCTTACATAGGGGTTGATTTACTAAAACAGGAGAGTGCAAAATCTGGTGCAGCTGTGCATGGTAGCCAATCAGCTTCTAACTTCAGCTTGTTCAATTAAGCTTTGACAAAAAAACTGGAAGCTGATTGGTTTCTGTGCACAGCTGCACCAGATTTTGCCCTCTCCAGTGTTAGTAAATCAACTCCATAGTATCCTATTGCAGAGCTTGGAAAGTTTTAAATTGGTTCTAGCAATATGGTTTTTAATGAGGTTTGGTACAGTGACGTGGCAAACCTAATTTGTGTTGGGGGTTCCTGATGAATTTCTTGTGTTCAGGACCATACCTATACCCAGCTAAGGCATTAATACCACACCAATGCTGCCTAGTAAAATGTAGCAGTTGTGTGTTAAAGCTGTTTGGGACAGCAGCCTAAACATGATGACATTAAAAGGTAGGTACTTTCCCTTAAAGTGGTTTTAAAGGCTTAAGTTTTTTTACCTTCATGCACTCTATGCATGAAGGTAAAAAACCTGTGTGCAGCAGCTCCCCCTAATACTTTCCTTTGCCCCATGTCAATCCTGGGTCTCTCCGACCTCATTGGCTGAGACAGCAGAAGGAGCCATTTGATTCCTGATACTGTCATAGCCAGTGAGGAGAGAGCAAGGTGCAGGGCTGAGCCGCATCTGTGTGTGAATGGACACAGAGCAGTGTCTTTGGAGCAAGCTTACTCGGGTGCTGTCATAGCAAGCTGTTTGCTATGGGGATACTTTGCAAGAGGGACGGGCCAGGAGCGCCAGCAGGGGACCTGAGAAGAGGAGGATCGGGGATACTCTGTGCAAATCCATTGCACAGAGCAGATACGTATAACATGTTTGTTATTTATATAAAAAAAAAAAAAGAAAATCAGCCTTTAATCAATTTAAATCTGACCTCCAGTCAGCTATAAGGACATTCATTAGCTACAGTTCTTCAAAATTTCTTAGTACAGTATATTTAAGGTGACACTAAATCATATCCTCATTTTTTATAAATAATCCATAGACTTCTACTAATTAACGGGCTTGTAATCTATTTTTCGTGAAATTATTTTACTGTGTTTTTGCCTCCTTGTAATGTCCACCATGAGTTCATGAACCTTTTTAGCTACATTCCTACATACAGTAGGACCATGAACATGAATGCAGCCACTCTCTAACAGGAAGTCAGAACAAACATTTTTTGGAGAAGGCTGAGGGCAAAAGAATGTGATTTTTTGGGGTTAAGAATACATATTTTAGGTCTGTTTTTGTATGTGTGTCACTTTAAAATACAATTCGTAACACTATCAGAGCTTTGGTTATCCTCTTCTACACTTTGGGACTGAGAGAAGAGGAGCAAACTGTGTAATCTGGCCAGACTCTACTTGTGTCACACAGGGCTATCGGTCATAAGATGGCCATAGACTTTAAATGAAAGTTTCTCTGGTGTCCTTTGGAACTGCCAGTCTGCAGTTCAATGTGCAACACCCAAAAATAAGCATTTTTGGGAAACCAAATGATCGACTTGGACAGTCACTATTGCCTTCTCTGCATGGGGCTTTCCTTCCAACATTGCACTAAAGAGGATATTACAAAACTTTCTCCAGCTATCAGTTTCTAATTCACTTAGTTGGGCACTATGGTACAGCATAGAGCTTGACTGATTTACTACACAGGCACTTCCATTCTGTCAGATTTTGTTACCCAAAACTTATATATACCGTATTTTTCGCTCCATAAGACGCACTTTTTTTCCCCCCCAAAAAAGGGGGGAAAATGTCAGTGCGTCTTATGGAGCGGCCGGTCCGTATTTCCACCGCCGCTGTGTCAGAATACCGGGCCGGCCGCTCAGCTCTGCAGTGGGACCTTACCTGTTCCTCTATCCAGCGGCGCGCTGTTTTCCCGGGTTCTGTAGTGTGCGTGACAGCCGGGTGCCAAGTGCGCATGCGCAAGAAGCGGTGCTCTTTGTGAATGGTAAGGCGGTACCTGGGACACATGACAGATCCCAGAAGCCGCCGAACCAATCACAAAGCGCAGCGCTTCTCGCTCATGCGCACTGGGCATCCGGCTGTCCGCCGAGCACCCACACTACAGAAGCCGGGGAAGACAGCGCGCGGCTGGATAGAGGAACAGATCAAAGAACAACTCCGCGAAAGTAAGAGCGGATACCTGTCAAATTAAGGTACCCGCTCCCCCCCTCCCCAAAGGTCAGCAGTCATCTCCTGTACTATTTCCGCAGTCTCTGGTCATCTCCTGTACTGTGCCCGCAGTCTCTGGTCATCTCCTGTACTGTGCCCGCAGTCTCTGGTCATCTCCTGTACTATGTCTGCAGTCTCTGGTCATCTCCTGTACTGTGCCCGCAGTCTCTGGTCATCTCCTGTACTGTGCCCGCAGTCTCTGGTCATCTCCTGTACTGTGCCCGCAGTCTCTGGTCATCTCCTTTACTGTGCCCGCAGTCTCTGGTCATCTCCTGTACTGTGTCCGCAGTCTCTGGTCATCTCCTGTACTGTGTCCGCAGTCTCTGGTCATCTCCTGTACTGTGTCCGCAGTCTCTGGTCATCTCCTGTACTGTGTCCGCAGTCTCTGGTCATCTCCTGTACCGTGTCCGCAGTCTCTGGTCATCTCCTGTACCGTGTCCGCAGTCTCTGGTCATCTCCTGTACCGTGTCCGCAGTCTCTGGTCATCTCCTGTACCGTGTCCGCAGTCTCTGGTCATCTCCTGTACCGTGTCCGCAGTCTCTGGTCATCTCCTGTACCGTGTCCGCAGTCTCTGGTCATCTCCTGTACCGTGTCCGCAGTCTCTGGTCATCTCCTGTACCGTGTCCGCAGTCTCTGGTCATCTCCTGTACCGTGTCCGCAGTCTCTGGTCATCTCCTGTACCGTGTCCGCAGTCTCTGGTCATCTCCTGTACCGTGTCCGCAGTCTCTGGTCATCTCCTGTACCGTGTCCGCAGTCTCTGGTCATCTCCTGTACCGTGTCCGCAGTCTCTGGTCATCTCCTGTACCGTGTCCGCAGTCTCTGGTCATCTCCTGTACCGTGTCCGCAGTCTCTGGTCATCTCCTGTACCGTGTCCGCAGTCTCTGGTCATCTCCTGTACCGTGTCCGCAGTCTCTGGTCATCTCCTGTACCGTGTCCGCAGTCTCTGGTCATCTCCTGTACCGTGTCCGCAGTCTCTGGTCATCTCCTGTACCGTGTCCGCAGTCTCTGGTCATCTCCTGTACCGTGTCCGCAGTCTCTGGTCATCTCCTGTACCGTGTCCGCAGTCTCTGGTCATCTCCTGTACCGTGTCCGCAGTCTCTGGTCATCTCCTGTACCGTGTCCGCAGTCTCTGGTCATCTCCTGTACCGTGTCCGCAGTCTCTGGTCATCTCCTGTACTGTGTCCGCAGTCTCTGGTCATTTCCTGTACTGTGTCTGCAGTCCAGTAGTTCAGAATTTTTTTTTTCCTGTTTTCTGCCTTTAAAACCTAGGTGCGTCTTATGGTCAGGTGTGTCTTATGAAGCGCAAAATACGTTAGATGCATAACAGGCAGTTTCACCAAGCAGTATTTACATTTATTTAATGGTTTTTGAATAAATTCATAGCTGTAACAAAGATCAGACTTTTATATTTGTCTTGAGTTTTACTTTTGAATGATCAGCGTAAAGAGTACATATGTTCAGTAGAAACTCCTACTTCTTGGAAATGTTGGCTGCTTTACTTGAACTATTAAATTCTTACGTGGAGTTTGTGTTTCAGATTCTGCAGCAGGAAATGGTGTCCTGACAAAAGCCACTGTCCCAATTTATGCAACTGGAGTTCTAACGTGTTACAATCAGGTATGCCAGGTACTTGGCTTCACTACAGTATGGTTTTTGCCTTGCGCATTCTGAAATTTGTTCACATTTATTTAATTTTAAAATTAAAGCTGAGAACCATAATCATATGAGCCAATTTGAATGTATAAATGCAGCATTCTTATCCTAAAGCAAGTATTCCTGGTTTTGTATAGGAAGAAGACCGCAAGCTGCTAGTTGGCTTCCTTGAAGATGTGATGACCATGCTCTCATTATCTCATGCACCACTGGATAGTTTAAAAGCATCCTTTGTAGAGCTAGGGTAAGCAAAATCTGCATATATTTGACACCTGCATCTGTCAAGAGTTCAAATTTTTCCCCCACTCTATCCAAAGCTAAAAAATGTTTACTTTAAAGTGGAAACTCTTGGGAGATAATAGGATTAAGGGTCAGTTCACACCTGAATCTCACTAGGAAGCCGTCTGTGTCCCTGTGTGATGTCCCTGTGTGATGTCCCTGTGTGATGTCCCTGTGTGATGTCCCTGTGTGTGCTTCACTGCGGTGCAGTTTTCAGCCTATTCATTTGAACAGGCTGAAATTGCACTGGATTGCACCAAAAGTAGCGTATGCCCTACTTTAAAACTCTCTGCAACCAGGTCAAGTGGTACTGTGATATCATGCAATTCGGTGCAGGCAAATGCATTGTGTTTAGGGTGTCGTTAGGAATACATGAATACCCACACCAGATCACACATTCTGTGCATTTTGAACGCAGTGGGCCAGTGTGGCAAATGCTCATGAACGCAGGTTTTCTGCACCGCATTCTGGTGTGAACAGGCTCTGAAACTGAATCCAGTTGTGTATTAATTGGTTACAAAACATTTTATATTTATTGTGAAATACAACCAGTATCTGTATGCAAATTTGTCTTTATATTCAATTTCTGTAAGCCCATGCTTGTAGAGACTCTATAACCCAGTGTTATAATACAGATCGGATTCACTGCATTCTACAGTGCTTTTGGTCTAACACTGGGAGCTTAATGACGGGGTGGGGTTAGAGCGTACTAATGACTCGATCAGTTTGGTGATGTTCCGATGGCAGTGTTCAATAAGTGGGCTGGGGGCAAATTAGTAACCATGTTGTAGTACTTGGCAACAATGAAGTAACTTGTCACAGATATAACAATGTCTCTACTACACACTTTTTTTTTTTATATATATATTTTTCCATAATAAATGGCTTATTTAGAGTGTTAAACATTTACTACATGCTGCTAGCGATTCCAGCACAAGCAGGAAATGCTAATGTTTTTTTTTTTTTTTATTGTACACTTCTGAAAGTTGAAACCAGTTTTGTTAGAGCTGATGAAGGCAATAGTCCTATTGTCCAACAATGTACCAACCGCACCCAGGTCATTGGTAACAAAACATAACATGCATAACATACTAATGTAGTGTTGCATAAATTCTGTCACATGTCTCAGTTCTGTCACACTGCCAGTTTTAAGCAATAGACATACTTTTACTATAAATCACTATAAAACAGAAGATTTTTGGGCCAACTGGGCATCTGGTTTAGAGCACAGATGCAAATGGACATACATGGCTCTATAATATCAGGCTGTATCTGTACTGTAATTTTGGGCTTATGTGGAGAGTCATTTGGCCCAGGAGCAAAAGGGAAGATTTGCATCGTTCTTCCCTCTCTCATTAAATGAGGTATAAATAAACCCTTTTATTTTTGGGATTTTTATTAGAATATGAAATGGTAAGTAAATACACTATATGGCCAAAAGTATTGGGACACCCCTTCAAATCATTGAATTCAGGATTTCCAATCACCTCCATGGCCACAGGTGAAAAAAATCAAGCACCTAGGCATGCAGACTGCTTCTACAAACATTTATGAAAGAATGGATCGCTCTCAGGAGCTCAGTGAATTCAAGCGTGATACTGTGATAGGCTGCCACCTGTGCAATAAGTCCATCCATGAAATTTCCTTGCCACTAAATATTCCACGGCCAACTGTACACAAAAATATCCCCCTATGGGACTTTAAAAACACTGGCTCTGATAACAATTGCATGGATATAGTCCCTTAAAGTTGGAACAATACAGCATTCCCAAAATTACCCCAAGTGATAGGCCACGTAAAATGACAGAGCAGGGTTAGCACATGCTGAGGCGCACAGTGCGCAGCAGTCGCCAACTGTATGCAGAGTCAATAGCTAAAGACCTCCAAACCTCATGTGGCATTCAGATTAGCATAACAACCGTGCGTAGAGAGCTTCATAGAATGGGTTTCCATGGCTGAGCAGCTGCATCCAAGCCTTACATCACCAAGTGCAATGCAAAGGGTTGGATGCAGTGGTGTAAAGCACGCCACCACTGGACTCTAGAGCAGTGGAGACGTGTTCTCTGAAGTGATGAATCACGATTCTCTATCTGGCAGTCCGACGGCCGTGCTCTGAAGAAGAGGTAAGTCCTCAAAGTGTTAGCCTGTTGGAAGTCCAGGGTTCCCGTTGTGGACGGTCACACAGTGTGGATTGGAAAGTGCTGTTCTTTATGATGTGCCTTTGACATCATTGCCGTTTGTGAGTGCGATAACTATCTTTATTTCCTAAATAAATGTTTTTTTATGGTAATGCAGTAGGCTGGTGCACCCTCTGTTTGTTTTCTTTAAATCCGACGGACGTGTCTGGGTTTGGCGGTTGCCAGGAGAACAGTACTTGCCTGATTGCATTGTGCCAAGTGTAAAGTTTGGGGGAGTGCGGGTTATGGTGTGGGGTTGTTTTTCAGGGGCTGGGCTCAGCCCCATTAGTTCCAGTGAAGGGAACTCTTAAGGCGTCAGCATACCAAAGACATTTTGGATAATTTCATGCTCCCAACTTTGCGGGAAGAGTTTGGGGATGGCCCCTTCCTGTTCCTATATGACTACACACCACTGCACAAACCTTGTGGAAAGCTGGCCCAGAAGAGTTGAAGCTGTTCTAGCTGTGAAAGGATGGGGCGGGCAACTCCATATTGAACCCTACGGACTAAGACTGGGTGCCATTAAAATTTGTGGGTGTAAAGTTAGGCGTCCCAATACTTTTGGCAGTATAGTGCATCTTCTGTTTTAATGAGGCTCTGCTATTCCTAGCAGTAGATTAGCTGAGGGCTTTTTTGTTGTGTTACAAACCTGTGCAGCAAAGCAACAGATTCTCTTAGGTGCTGGTGATTAGAAACATGTTACTCCCTAAATACTGGCGTTACATGTTCCTAATGGTAAACTTAGTCTTTGACAGCAGCAGAGAAAAATTTCCTACTTTTAAGTTTTGATTTGTAAAGGAACTAAAAACAGTGACCATACAGTTTTACTGCAATTGTTTGTAAAAAAAAAAAAGTTTTCAAACCCCTGGAGAATTGGTAATATACTGTACAGTATGCACTCAGTGGGATTTATATTCAACTGTAGGTCATAACAGAATGGCACAATCCTAAAACAAAACATGGCAGCAAGTAAACAAATGAAATGACCCCTGTTCAAAAGTCTGCATTCCCTTAGTCCTTAATACTGTGTATTGTCCCCTTTAGCAACTATGACAGCATGACGTTTTTTTAATAGTTTGTTTATAAGGCCCCAGATTCTTGCAGGCGGTAGAGCTGCCCATTTGTCTTGGCAAAATGCCTCCAGGTCAGGCAGAGTTTTTGATTGTGTTGCATGGACCACATGTTTGAGGTTCAGGAGACTGTGATGGCCACTCCAGAATCTTCACTTTTTTTTCACTTTTTTTTTCTGCTGTAACCACTGGGGGATTATCTTAGCATTTTAATAAGAAAATTGTATACGAGCGCACCTGTAAAAATCAAGTAGCAGCTGAACACCAGGTAACCAAACACCCCAAAAAACAATATATATCATAAGATGCAGCGCTACAGAAAAGGAGTACTATGTAAGGTGAATATGTGCATCAAATAACAAATAAATAAATGAATCAATAAATGCAACAGTTCATAGAATAAGGTGACTTCAAGTGCTCTCCTCTATTTCATATCCTCCTGATGCTCAGGCGCTGTGCGAAATAGTGCTGAAGGAATGCACACTCACCAGAACGCACAGTAAAATGAGTGTTTGTCAATATAAATTCCCCTCTGGGTCATCAGCTGGTCAGGATAAGGTCTGCAGTGTAATAACCTCCCTCCAGAGCTCCTGGATATTCCTGTATGATCCCTTGGTAGGTGGCCTGTGGACTTCTCCTTACAGCTTACATACGCTCCTTACCCAGCAGAGAGATGAATAGCTGCAAATTGATACTCCCCAAGGGAGTCAAGACAGAGACATATCCATAGTGTAGTAGGTAATTGAAAGGTTTATTGGCACAACAAGCTATCGATGGTACACAACAGTGTGTATAAGAGATATGTGGACTGACCGTCCAATGTTAAAGATGGCCGCCGGAGCTCCACAATGCTCCGGCGGCGTGACGTCACGGCGTTCCTGGCTCCTCCTACGCGTTTCGTGCACACGCATGCAAATCCCCCCAGACGACGTGCGTGTGCACGAAACGCGTAGGAGGAGCCAGGAACGCCGTGACGTCACGCCGCCGGAGCAGTGTGTACAAAAAAAATGCTAATCATCTCCCCAGAGAAGTACACACTGATTGCTTATAGCTGCAAAAGTCAGTTATAAGCAACCATTTTTTTCTGAGTTAAAACTGTTAACTCAGTGTTTACTATTTTGATTAGCTGTGATTGGTCACAGCTAATCACGTGGTACAGATGGGCTGTGATTGGCCCTGTCTGTATCATGTGATCACTGTGACCAATTACAGAGCTCTTCACAAAAGTTCACAATGAAAGGCATGAATCAAAGCCTTTCAGTCTGTACAATTGTCATGTTATCTGCAGTGATTGGCCACAGCGGTTGCATGATACTGGCAGCGGGCCAGCACAGTGATCTCTCATCGGCTGTGTCCATTGAACACAGTGGGTGACAGATTGTGCTGGAGCGTGGCCCGATCTTGGGAGGATATCATAGGACATCCTCCCAGGATAATAGGGCTCCTGCCCAGCCATTGTATTAAAATGGGACAGGAAGGGGTTTAAAAAGCCACAGATGTAATCAATTAACCTTTCATTGTCATTTTAACCCGTGTGTGTCACCTTCTGTGTGTGTGTGTGTACCAAGGTCAAATATTCCAGGGAATGTGTACTTTTTGATCAGGAACGTTTGGGTGATTTCTGTTTTGATTTAAAAAGGAGCCAAACAACTATGTGATAATAAATGGCTTCATATGATCACTACCCTTAAATCAAAGCGTTTTATTTGGCATGATCAGTCATTTTTTTCAATATCGATGCCAAAATTTCATGATTTCTGCCATGGTATGCAAACTTTTCAGTAAAACTGTAATATACTAGTAACATGGTGGTTGTTTCATGTGCAAGCATAGATTTATGTTTCGGTACCTTGGTTATTTGTTTTACAAATGATTTATTGAATTCTTTCAGCAAAGTACAACAAACTGGTACAATCCTATTCAGAGAGCGTAGTAATAACCTAGAAATCACGGAGTACAACTCTTTTTAGCCATATTGTCAAAAAAAGAACAAATGCAAGAACAAGTAATGTTTACATTATAGCGGGTACCTTGGGTATTTGAACAATTGAAGAGACCTTTAATTTCGGTTGATCTGTCATTTTTCTCCATCTGTGCTATCATACTACATTTGGACCAAGTTTTTCAAATCTATTTTGTAAAATGAATTTAATGTTTTCATTATAAAAATGTGCCTAGTCTTAAGGGGTGTTCTTTTGTGTAGACTGTGTACCATACAATTTTGGGGTATATATGAGTGCTGTTATCTTAGGCCATGTTCTTGAAACATTCCTTTTTCTCTCCAGGACTAACCCTGCTTACCATGAGCTGTTACTAACAGTGCTTTGGTATGGTGTTGTTCATACATCAGCACTTGTCCGGTGTACTGCTGCAAGGATGTTTGAGGTTAGTAAACTATTTATAAGAAAAAGAAGCACAAAAATGTCCGTTTATTACTATTGCAGTGTGCTGTGAGATGGAGCAGAATGACTATGTTTACAACTCTTCAAGATTTGCATGATTTGGTGTATGGAGCTTCCTACTTTATTTCATGACGTTCTTATGCATTAGAACAAAATCTGGTGCAGCTCTGTATAGAAAACAATCTGCTTCCAGGTTTTATTGCCAAAGTTTAATTGAACGAGCTGAAATCAGTAGCCGATTGGCTACCATGCACAGCTGCACCATATTCTGAGTGCACCAGTTTTAGTAAATCTACCCCAGTATGTGAGTGTACAGTATTATCATTTTATAGAAATTCCTGTTTTAACGTTCTTTTATTTCTCTACTTACTGCCTTTTTATTCTTGCCATCTACAAAAAAAATGACGACTACTGCTGTCCATCCAGATAACAGTACTTTACTTTTACAGTCCTTCTGCATTGCTTAAAAGCCTGGCTGCTTTTTGGTGTATTCCACTGAGGACTGCATACAAAATATTAGTACTTCCAATTCCTGTTGTATTTTCCTTACAAGTTCAAGGTGATAACCTGCTTGCAAATTTTGACTACAAAGCACAGTGATAATTTATCTATAAATAGTGAGCTAAGAAAAAAATAATCATAGTTTTATAAAACATTTGGAATAATTTATACAAGACCCTGTAGATTAAACATTGTAGATTATTTGGGGACTGACGGCATTTTCAGTCACACACACCAGTATTAATGCGTGATCATTCCCAATATTGCTTGGTAGACCGTTTAATAACTGAATAATGAGCATGCACTAGCATCAAACGTTCTGCTTGCAGAGGTTTTTCAGGCATGGGCAATATTCTATTTCTGTAGAGGATTTATATAGCGCCAATCGTTTGCACAGGGAATGGAGGGAGATGTACAGTTAGAATACAAGAGGGATCAGAAGACCCTGTATGTTAGAGCTTACAATCTAAAAGGAAGGGTCAAGTAATACAAAAGGTAATATATGAGGAGGATGAGCTGATGGAGAAGGTAAAAGTACAGTGTATTAGAGGCAGGATAGGGCATGGAGGGGGGCAGGTTCTGGTTAGGAGGTTGTAGGGCAGATTCAGGCACAGATGATGTGGGTATACGGACTGATTGGATTCATGCAGAGGGAAGTAAGATGATGAAAGTGAACTTTCAAAAGGAGCCACAAATCTTTACTAGGGCCTGTGTTGATGTCTTTAATGGGCAATTGCAGCATACTTTTGAAATCCATTTGAGATGCTTCAGATACAGTATAAAAGATCGTTCCGAGCTCATGATAGGTGCAGTTGACCTGCATTTGACTTGCCCCAGCTGCATTACATTCCCATAGGCTTGTATGAGGAGGGGAAACTGTTCTGAAGTGAATAAAAGCCCATCAAAACGGGCCCATAAGCACGTACAGTACATGCAATCTCTGAGGCAAGTTATGGGATCGATAGATTGCTTTAGATTGATCGATTTAGATAGATATAAAGAGACTGTATATATAAATATAATTTGCACTTGGAGTTTCTTCCACAGAGTAGGAAGTATAATATATTTTGGAGATACAAAGACGGTGGCTTTCTATGACCCAGCTTGCCAGCTGTATGTAGACTCTTTGTAAATCGTTGTCATTTGTATGAATTGCCCCAAGGACATTTCAGTAAGTGCTATGAGCCAAGAGCTACACGGTAATTGAAATCTGTTTGAATTGTGTATTTTAATCTGTTTGGTTTTGCTGTCATTTAATACGTGTACATAATTACTGTAACAGAAAGTGACAAAACCTGGCTTTGTTTTGAAGGGTTTGCTTTTTTAGCATATTGCTATGCTTTGCTTAATACTGCTACAGGTGTCTGAAGTGACATTACGGGCAAATAGAAACATGAAAAATGCTGGTTTTGCGCTTTGCAGTTCAGTGATATTCAGAATGTTACTAGGGGATAATAAGGGACTTTCCAGAGTACCTGTTTTGTAGGGCAGGTTAACCAGGTGTTGTGTCTGACGTTCTTAATGAGAAATGTATGGGCTGCTAAGAAAGCTAAAACTATTTTAACTATCTCTTGCTTTGGTATTGTTGTGTAGACTTGTGTTAGCTATTTCTTGTTTCTTTAGCTGGACCAGATCTGTTTTACATGCCCACAATGCATCGAAACAAACAGTCCAATTTATGGGACATCTATTACTGCTGGTAGGCACCGTATGAAGCTTGCTGCAGGATCCTTTGATATGTAGACCGCCTTGGATGGAAATATGTATGGCTATGTAAGCTGGATAAATATGCCTGCATTTATGGACTCAGAGATTACTATAGAAAGTTAGGGTTACTTATTGGCCACTGACTTTCTCAGCGGGCCCAGTAATGGGCTAAGAATTCTAAAGATGTAAATGAGAGGTGTAGGAAGGTGGGTGAGTTTTTGGATAGGACTGCAGTAAAAGACGGGACAAATGAATCAGTGTTGTAGCTGTGTGTGAAAGTGAAAAACGTGGTAACCAAGTTTGATGGTGGTACATGACTGACCAAAGTTTTAGAAGCCCTAATCTAATTGTCAAGCATTCTCTTTCAATGGACAGCCAGCTTAAAATTTGCAGCTATTGCTATATTGGTTAGTGAATGCCTGTTAACACCCCCCCCCCCCCCCCCTTTTTTCCCCATACCACTGGTTTCTTAGTCCTGAACCTATCCCTTAAGTTCAAGTGCATATACGTAACCTGGCAATCTGCTGCCCCTGGCCAGATGGGAACATCTAGGTTTGGAAAGCTTTAACATAGGACAGCAGAGATGGTGCTTTTTTTCAGTATGCCATTGGGATGATCTGGAGATCATAGGAGGCTGCCATTTATGACCCCCTTCTGAAGATTCTAGTTTGCTTCTTTGTTTCTGGTTTTAATACTTTTATGAGTAAGTGACCTGGTACAGTATTCAGCCAGCGAGGCCAAAATAGTTGATCTGCGTACTTCTTCTGGGTCATTGATCCAGGAAGTGTTTAAACATGCTGACGGATAAGCAGCTCACATTTTCAAGAGACCAATAGCAACCTCTGTTGGTTTTGGTGTCAGCCTGTTTAGAATACCTATCCATCTACAGCTGTCAGCTTAAACATGGTGACACTACTATAATGGTATGCTCACCTACTTATGGACTGGCATTTTCCAATGTGCATGCATAGAAGTTTTTTTTAAAGCGGAGTTCCAGGCGTTTTTGTGTTTATTAAAAGTCAGCAGCTACAAAAACTGTAGCTGCTGACTTTTAATGAAAACACTTTTACCTGTCCCAGAGTCCAGTGATGTTCTCACCCGAGCTGTCCCTTCTCTCCTCCACGGCGCCAGCATGTCAGCTGTGGGCACCAGGCTGTGACCGCTTGTGGCTTCTCAGCCTGTTGCTCACTGCACATGCGCAAGGCACGCTACGCCTCCTAATTTGTCTGGCAGTCTTCTGGGACCTGTGAAAGCTCCCAGGAGACTGCAGAAGGGAGGAACGCTGTCCACTCCCCTCCCCTCCCCCAAAAGGTGCCAAATATGGCAGTGGAGGGGGTAGGAGGCAATTAAGTGGAGCTTTCGCTTTTGAGTGGAACTCCGCTTTAATGACTGTGAACACTGTTCGCTCTGCAACATTGCCTGAGTTTGTAGTTAATCAGTTACTGTGAGTGGACCATAACAAAATTTAACACTAGTGCCATTTTTTATGTGAGATATTGTTTTAAGATTTAAAATTGTAAACTTCGCTCTTAAGTTGTAGAAATAATGCAGCCTTTCCGGGATGGGTATGTGTGCTGATATTCATTTTTATTGTCTTGCTATCCGTACAGAAATACCAGCCCTGTGACAGACTGGTAACTGGAAAACCTGTTTAGTTTTCTTTCCTTTCTTGTAACGTTACATGCCAGTTTGGGGTTGCTGTCAGGTTGGGGACAGGTGAGAATATAGTGAGTAATTAGTCCAAAATCAAATTGTTTCTGAGAGGTAATGCACTAGAATAATTTGAATAGGATAATTCAATCATGGATATTCACATCATTGCAGATGCCCATTCACTGCTTCTCTGGTTTTGGTCTGGGTACTGCCTAGAGTGAAATGTGTAGCAGGAAATGAACTATAAAATACTGTGCTTTATTGGCATTTATTCCAAATAAAAGTGCTGACTGGTGAGAACAGATATTCATTCGGCAAAAGTTGCAAAACACCAAGCATTTTACAGTCTTGTACAGAAAAGAGTTATCTATATATGTACTCTGCGTGTTCCACGTGTACAGTTATAATGTGACTTGAAAACAAAAGCTTGTTATAGGCCCATTCATAAAAGGAGAGCAGATTTCATGTACAATTGTATGATTTGTAAATAATCATTTTCCTGCACAGCTTTAAATAAGGCTGCTGTGCATCTATACAGAAAGTTATCATTTTCAGATACAGTAATAAATGCTCTTGGTGAATGGCCCTTTGTTTCTTTTTTTTATTTAATGTTTTTATTAGAACTTCTCAAAAATCGTTCAATAGCATGTGATACTGAACATGTATAAGATAGCATAGGAAAGGCACGATGTGAAGTATCACCAAAAATTGTAGAACGAACAATAACAATATCAGAGGTTCTAAAGTAAAACCACATATATGCATCTCGTGTCTATGTATAGTCGTTTTCATGACCAGGCTATGTCAAGGAATAAACCAGGGAGAAAGAAAAAAAGGAGTAAAGAAAATGAAAAAAAAGATCAGAGGAGTAGAGACAGAAGGAGAAGAGAGAGTAGTTATGCATGAAGGGTACGTCTCAAACCGAAGTGCAGATACCATAGCCAAAATACAGTAGTATATAATATGGCCTTTTGTTTCTTGTTCGGACTGTTTTACAAGAGAAGCACACAGTGTAAGGATGACATACAGTAGTTCTGTTTTAAGGTGAATTCATTTTCAACTGGAAGGTTCATCTCGAACTTCGTCATTGAGACATATTCTAACAGGGTAGTTTTGGAAGGGTTGGGACTGGACGCTAGCAGGCTTGGGGCCTGTGTCAACAGACTTGGGACAAATGCAGCATGCTTTGACATTGATTTGAGAAGCTTTTCAAAGCATTCAGATTTTATTACGGGTTTGGTTGACCTGCCTCAGATGCTTTGCATTCCCATAGACTTGCAAGGGGAGAGAATCCATTATGAAGCAAACAAAAGCCGACCAACGCTGGCCCTTAGGGTTTGCTAAAGTTACTGAGAGAGTAATGTATTTTTAAAATGGGATTATCACCACAGTGGTACATAAGGTTGCTTCATCAAAGCCCATATTTGAGTTTTTCCATGAAGTTAACTCTAAATAGCATGGAAGAATTACAATCTAGAATACAGTAGAATCATTGTGAGTGATCTAGCCAAACCAAAAAAGACGGTGGCATTGGCATAGCTTTAATGCAGTGCATTTTAGGTTGCACTATTCACTGTGTCATGTCAAACAATGAGAATATGTGCTGCCACTGTACTGGTACTGTTTAGAATTTAAGTTCAAATTACAATTTCTTTGTGTGCTTTTAATGTAGAACTAAAGGAAAAGCTTTTTTTTTTTTCTTTAAGATTTGGATAAATTGGTCTGGGGTTAGAACCAATGTCAGGTTCTTATGTTGGTCTGTGTCTCTTTGTGGAGATTCCCTCTCTCTAATTGCCCTGTTCACCAAAGTCACCATAACAATAAGTACTAGTACTGCAATAGAGGGGAAATCTTCCAATGAGAACACTTGTTCACGTGACAACCACCTAAGAGGGGATTTCCCTCCCACTGGAATATATACTCTCACTTCTTGATGAATTTTTATTATTATTATACAGTATTTATAAAGCGCCAACTGTTCGCTCAGCGCTGTACATTACAAAGGGAGACAGAACATGCGACAGTACAATAACCATACAATGCGATACACGAGGGGTTTCGAGGGCCCTGCTCCTTGGAGCTTACAAACTAGGAGGGAGGGGATAGTGGTACAGGAGGAAATAGCTGTGGGGGATGGCGTGGTAGGAAGAGTGGAGGAGGTTGCGAATTAGCAGGGGGTGGGGTAGGTTTCCCTGTAGAGGTGGGTTTTCAGGGTGCTCCTAAAGGAGAGGAGAGTAGGTGATAGTCTTATGGATTGGGGTAGGGGGTTCCAGAGTATGGGTGACACCCTGGAGAAGTGCTGGAGGCGGGCATGGGAGGAGGAGAGTAGGGAACTAGAGAGAAGGAGGTCTTGTGAGGAGCGGAGGGTGCGTTTTGGGTGGTATTTGGATATTAGGTCGGTGATGTAGTTTGGGGCAGTATTATGAACAGCTTTGTACGTCAGTGTTAGGACTTTGAATTTGATCCGTTGGTCAATCGGAGGCCAGTGGAGGGATTGGCAGAGGGGTGTGGCGGAAACGGAGCAGTTGGTAAGGTGGATGAGTCTGGCTGCCGTATTCAGGATAGACTGAAGGGGGGATAGCCAGCAGCGAGGCAGGCCAGTGAGGAGGGAGTTGCAGTAATCGAGTCGTGATATGATGGAGTGGATGAGCTGTTTAGTGGTTTCTGGGGTTAGGAACGTGCATATTTTGGAGATGTTGCGGAGGTGGAGTCTGCATGAGTTTGTTAGTGAATGGACTTGGGACAGAAAGGATAGATTGGAGTCTAGAATGACACCTAGTACTCTGGATTGCAGGGCGGGCTTGATGGTGGCATTGTTGGACATGATGGAGAAGTCAGTGGGGGGGGGGGTGTGCGGGCTGGGGGGAAGACTAGGAGCTCAGTTTTGAAGAGGTTCAGTTTAAGAGTTTATGGAAGTGGAGCGACATGCAATCTGATATGTCGTCAGTAGGCATGTGATTCGGGCAGAGACTGAGGGGATGGAAGCCAGACTGTAGGGGATCGAGAAGGCTGTTGTCATTGAGGTGAGAGCTTAGGCGATTGTAAACGAAGCGCTCGAGGAGTTTGGATGTGAATGGCAGCAGGGAGATGGGTTTAAGGTTGTTCGGGTCAGTGGGGTCCAGGGAGGGCTTTTTGAGTATGGGAGTGATGTGCGCGTGCTTCAGAGGGGAGGGGAATGCGTCAGAAGAGAGGGAGAGATTAAAGATGTGGTTGAGGGAGCGTAGGATGGAGGAGGAGGGAGGTCGTAGGAGTTGTGAGGGGACAGGGTCGAGGGGGCAGGTGGTGAGGTGGGCTTCAGAGAAGACCTTGGTGACCTCAATGGTAGTAGGGTCGAAGGAGTGGAGTGTTGAGGGGGCTTCAGTGTGAGGAATGTTTGGTGGGGTGGAGGTCTGAACAGTGGTGAGGGAGAGGGGTGATGAGGGGGTGGGTGGGAGGAAGTTTGAACGGCGGCAATGTCCCTGCAAATTGTGTCTATCTTGTTTTTGAAGTGATTGGCAATCTCAAGGGCCGTGAGTGAGGTGCTGGGTGGAGGTGGGGGCGGAGGAGAGTAGAGAGTTGAAGGTGGAGAAGAGCCGGCGAGGATTGGAGGAGAGGGTCTTGATGAGGGTCAGGAAGTAGGCTTGTTTGGCAGCGTGGAGGGAGGAGGTGTAGGTGTGGAAGGCAGATTTATAGTGGGTGAATGCTAGTTGGGATCTGGTTTTGCGCCATAGTCGCTCCAGCGCATTACTGCGTCGTTTGAGAGTTTTGGTGCGATCAGTCTGCCAGGGCTGGAGCGATCGGGGTCTGATGTTTCGTGTGGTTAAAGGCGCTAGCGAGTCAAGGGCAGTTGACAGCGAGTTGTTACTGTATATGCAGTCGGGGCAGGACAGGGGGAGGATGCTGTCATAAAGTTGATCAGCTGCACAGTGGAGGGGGGCAGGGTTCAGGTTGCGGAGGTTACGGCTGGTAGTAGTATGACACTTGGAGGGGTAGGCATTAGAGGACGAGGAGAGAGAGAAGGTAATAAGGTTGTGGTCAGAGAGAGGAGTTTACAGAACAGGAAGTAAAGGGAAATCTCCCTAATGAGATGCAGATGGCAAAACAGCAATTTTAACTTTCCCCTACTCTATCCAAAATGGAAAAAAGTTTTGGTTTTATATCTACTTTAAAGAACATGTTCATTTTATTAAATTTGTTTGATTTATATTTTGTCAGTTTTCCTTTTTTTTTTTAAATTCTATTTCTTTGAGCATGCTTGGTATTCCAAAATGTGACTTTGAGGGCTGACCTAGTACACTGCATTATAGTATTAGAAGTGCGCCAGTTCTTTTGCTGCTCTCTTTGCCTATATAAGCCGTAGCTTGCAAGTAGTGAGTAGCTTCTAATCCGTATTTGCATTTTGTATTTCTTCCCCTTTCTCTGGTTCTGTTGTTCTTCTGCCTCCCTCTTCTGTGCACCACATCATGGCTCCCCTTTTGTTCCGACCAATCAGCTTTTGGTGAAGGGGGTGAATGAGACTTTGGTTGCTCAGAGAGTTGTCCCTGCTCTCATCACTCTCTCCAGCGATCCTGAAATGTAAGTTTCTGAGCTGCTTTTTACAGTAAGCATCCTGATTGTTGGAAATGCCCATCTGTTTACAGAATGTTATCTCCTTACTGGACGCAAATTTGACTTCAATTCGGAATGGCGTTACTGGACATTTTAAAGAAATTTCTTTTTTTTTTGTAAGATTTCCTACTTGTCTGTGGTTATACTACTGTCACAGGAAATGGATGGGGCATGTCTGACAGAATGATGCTTAATTTCTTGACTAACCCTTTTCTAATTAAATTAATTTTGCGGCATGCTGTGTATACTACTTCCCAATTCTATGCATGTTATACTGGATTCTTTAAATAAAATAAAACCAGTTGTAGTATCTGCCCATCCACAGTCACGGCTAACAACAGTCTTATTACCCATTTACCAAACAATTTTTTATTGCATGTTGACTGGTTACAGCTGATTCTCCGAGGCATGCGGGAATCCTTAGTTGACAAGCGAGTTGCTCCGGCCCTTGTTACCTTGTCCAGTGACCCAGAATTGTGAGTTCTAATGACTGTCTCAAACTAATTTTCTTCTATTGAGACTTTTCCTGACCCATTTAGTATCTAAAGAACACTCACTTTTAAAGTTAGCATTCTTTCCTTGAGTTGTGTTTTTAACATGTTTTATATAAATCTCCAAACAACACCTAATTTTTACAGTTCTGTTCGAATTGCCACAATCCCAGCATTTGGTACCATCATGGAGACTGTTACACAGAGAGAGGTAAGTCTTCTTTCAGATTAATTTGTAGAATATGTCCGACTCCAACACTTATTTTTATTGTAATTGATTCAGATGGTGCACCATTTACTTGAAGTTTCTGCTTGTTATAACTTAGGATGTACCTTTTTTCGGTGAAGAATAATATTTTTCGTTTGTGATTAGTTGCCAGAACTTATTTTATTAGGAAATCGGCTCATTGATTACATTTGAAATTGAGACCCGATATCAGGAATGGTCTGCTGTAGGCCACATGCATGTAGCTCTTTGCTGAGATGTGAAATGGTTGTGTATGCAAACAATTGTGATTGCTTTAAACTGATGAATAATTTCTCTCACTAGACGTTTACAAGGCTTGTTGAATTACAGAGGGGATTCAGTACACATAGCACTTGTTCCACGTAAAATCTGTGCTGTGGTTTGGAAATGTCATTTTTATTTCTTTCAGTCTCCACTCCGGGCAGAAGGAGGAAGTACAGGCAGTACTAAAGCCACAGTCCCCTCTACATTTTGCAGCCCTCCTTGCTGTGCAGCCCTGTGCCTCCTCTCCATACTCCTACGTACTGATACAAGACTGAACCCGAAACATCCTACAACTGCCAGCCAGTATGGAGGAGATTATTACAGTCATAGCCGATAGCTTGTGCTGTGAACGACGGTGGCTTGAGAGGGGCACCATTAATCACAAAAACTTAAGCCCACAACCACATACGCTTGACAACTACTACACTAGTCTCTCTCGTACAAATGTCATAGCTGGCTTGTGGTGTTGTGAGCTTGTGTTTTTGTGAATACCTACCTTCCTCTCTAGCCACCGTCCTTTCCTATACAAGCTGCAGGCTACTACTGAAGTAATCTCTGAACTGGCTCGTGACTACAGTAGGTTCAGTCTTTTATCTGCAAATGGAGCAAAGAAAGCACAGGGCTACATGGCAGAGAAGGCTGTTGGTGATCTGTCTGGCAGCGTTCAGTGGAGGCTGCAGCTGTGCGGGTTCCGTGTAGTCCCTGTCTGTGCTGCCCCCTCTCCTCTGTGTGCTGTTAGTTACCAGCTAGTTCAAAGGAGATTGCTTCAGTAGTAGCCGGCAGCTTGCGTAATAAAGAACGATGGCTGATAAAAAGAGCATAAATTTGTAATCCTACGACCCTTGCCCTAGACTGGTCTCTTCCCCCCTCCCTTCCTTCCTCCCCTTTCCTGGTTCACCCTTACATAGTTTCATACCCTTTCGGTTCACACTGAGACAACTACATCTTTTTCGAAACCTAACTCTTGCCCACTATATCCCCAGCCGATTGGTGGGGAACTTCCTTTCCATTTTTACTTGCTGTTTATATGCACCCAAAGGTGAACTGTACTATTATTGTTATAATGTACAATAATGTTATTATTGTATAATGTATCGTACTTAAACTTTCTCAATAAAAATATTATAATATAAAGAACGATGGCTAGAGAGGAGGGTAGTTATTCACAAAAATATCTGCCCCCCCCCCCCCCCCCACCTTTCTTCACCGCTATCCGACCATACTGCTCAGCAACCACAGCACAGATTTTAACAGGGGCAGGTGGTATGTGCACTGGACCCCTTTGGAGTTTAACAAACTATTCTAATTCCTGGTGAAATGTCATCTTTAATCCATGGTCTTTCATCTGACTTCAATCAAAACTGAGAATTAAATCTTGAGTAACTTTCAGGCAGCAAAACTTGCTGGCTGAATAGTTCAGTTTTCATCCAGGTATGGCTGTGCTGCTCCACTCCATTGCACCCCCTTTCCTGAAATCTAGGGATGGGCGCTGATGTAAAAGAGATATTCCTAAACACACCCACTACAGAATCATTACTGTCTCACACCTACAGAGTGCAGAAGCACTGATACAAATAAAGTGTTACGACATCTAAGCATTATGCAGGCCATACATGGGTCGAATTCTGAAGGATTTTTCATCCGGAAATCGGAAAAATGACGTTCGCTCGGTAATCCAGTGGTGCCATCAATGATATCAAAATCGGCCAACCAAGTCATAAAGTTCACCCCATATAACAAGTGAAACGTCTGTTCCTTCCAGGTCACGGCTCATTCGCATATTCTTTTCAGAAAAAACGATCGTATGATTTGACCATCATGGAGTCAAAAATCGTCCGTTTTTCACAAATTTTCCAACATGCCTGATCACTGAAAAGGGGAGGAGCCACGAAAATTGGCTGGTGCCATCGACCCACTAACAGAGAAAATCGGCCGATTTATTCTTAGGTCTGATTTTCGGATGATAAATCGGTCAAATTTCGACCCTTGTATGGCCGGAATTAGTCCTCATGCACACTGGACGTTTTTACAGCGGCTGTTTTTGACGTTTTTTTTTTTCTACCGCTAGTAAACCCCCCAGCATGTCATCCTATGTGTTCATGCACACAGACTGTAATCAACGTTTTTTGGCTGGAAAAAAAATCCAGGACTAGTGGGTCTCTAGAGGAGTTTTTTAGCTGTGAAACCGCTCTACCGGCGCTTTTGGACTTTTTTTGACCCCCAAAAATATTGCTTTTTGGGTTAAAAAAAAAAAACACAGCTAAAAACGCTAAGAAAATGCAAACGCGGGAAACCGCCACTAAATGTGAATGCAAAAAAGCTGAAAAACGCACGTTTTTAACATGACTTTACACAGCTAATGTTACCAGTGTTATCAAAACACCCAGCGTGCGTACAGCCTTATGGTCATGTATTGTATGGTTACTTTTTAACTTGAGAATAGGGAGTTTTCAAGAAACTTATAGATTATACTTTGTATTTGCATGTCATAAAATATTGCTTAATCACTACATTGGTATAGGGGTTAACTGTTTTGTATCCTATACAATTTTCACAAGTTTTGAACTAATATTTTATCCGTAGCACCACTCTCAGGTGAGCATGTTTCTTTAGGATCTATGTAAGATTCTATTTTTTAGGGGTTATCTATATATCTATCAGGTTCAAGCTCATGGGTTTCAATCAGTACAGAGACATAGACTTGTACTGAGAGAAAACTCGAAAAACAACATTCAGCATGCAGCAGATATGACTGCTTTGGTGCATTTCTAATTAACTGTGAACACAAGCATGTTTTGAAGAAAATGATAATCAAGATCAAGAGTGGGCATGTACTAATTTACAGTCTACTCCTTATTTTCCTTCTTTTCATTTTTTTTTTCTTCTTTTTTTTGGCTCCTAGTAAGTCTACATTTCTGACTCTTAGGCCTCCATCACATGGGCAATTATGTGCATACACCAAATTCCAGTGGCAAGAATCAGAAGATTCTTGCAAATCAGATATCAAGTGTTTATACACAGTTGTAGCCTTTCAGCCTGTACAAAGCAATAACCGGCTGAGAGGAGCCTGTACAAAGCAATAACCGGCGAGAGGAGCCTGTACAAAGCAATAACCGGCTGAGAGGAGCCTGTACAAAGCAATAACCGGCCGAGAGGAGCCTGTACAAAGCAATAACCGGCCGAGAGGAGCCTGTACAAAGCAATAACCGGCCGAGAGGAGCCTGTACAAAGCAATAACCGGCCGAGAGGAGCCCTCTCTGTTCGCACAATCTCACAGAACGAGCGTTCGGAACAAATACCGATCTTTGGATGCAGACTGAACAGCTGAGCCCCTCATCTGTCGTTACTTTTGTACAGGCTGCAGCCAAAGTTGACTTGTTCTCTCCGCTGCAAGAATTCACTGATGGAGTGCGGTCTATGCACATAATTGCCCCTGTGAATAAGACCGAAAACTCTGGTTTTGTTCAATTATGTTCCTTTTAGATTTTGAATATACTGGTGATTTAGATTTCTTAAGACTTCTAGTTTTAGGAACCAACTTGAACATTTGCAGTGACATGATTATTATTATTATACAGTATTTGTATAGCGCCAAAAGGTTTGCTCAGCGCTGTACATTATGGTGGGGGACAGGACATGAGACAATACAGTAACAAAACAATACACGAGGGGTTCGAGGGCCCTGCTCTTTCGAGCTTACAATCTAAGATGTCCTATAAAGACTTCATGCCCACACCTGACATTGCAAACACGGGATATATATATATATATATATATATATATATATATATATATATATATATAAAATCACAAAAATTAAATCTTTCATGCCTTGGCAATACTGGACATTTGCTTTCCTAGAGGATTAAGTGCAACACATCTGGTCACTAGTAGCAGAATAATGCCAAATTCTCCTTTTTTTATTACTATTTAATGGGAGGGCAAAAGAGGCAAGCAGGGGAGTATTGGTTATGCGTTTTTTCTTCTCCCATCGTTCAAGCTCGTATTTGATTATTATTATACTTAACACAGAAATGCCGCCAGACCTTCAATGTGTAATGTCTGTAGTTTCTCAAGTGAAGCAGCCAAGTTGTTTAATAGGTCCCCTGGGCAGCCAATGGATCTCTGTCCGGTGAGTTTTATCTTTAGTTTGGAGGATCATTTTCATCAAGTACACCACTTTCTGCACACTAGCACACAAACAGAACAAATGGTAAAACTGCGTTAGAGTTGAATTCACTAGCATATGCCTTGTGACACCGTTGATTTCTTCTACATCTCCAGCTATTGTCCAGCTATACTCTGTAACCATATGAACAAAAAGTCTTCCTTTATAAATACTTCCAACAATTAACTTGTGTACAACTCCTGGCCAAGGCAGAATGATTTCTATATAGTGTGCAAATAATTCTCAAATGTTGCTTTTTTTTTTTTTTTTGTAGTTATTAGAGAGAGTGAAAATGCAGCTGGCTTCATTCCTAGAAGACCCTCAGTATCAAGATCAGCACTCCCTGCAGACAGAAATTATTAGGACGTTTGGTAGAGTTGGACCTAATGCAGAGCCAAGGTTCAGAGATGAATGTAAGTCCCCGTTTCTTCACATTAGATTTGTACCAGGTGACAAAGTGCTGCTGAGGGCTCTATATGACAGTGATTTATTCGGGTTGGCCTTGTGGACTTTGTCCTTTCTCTATGCTAGAATGCAATTAATTAGCTGTACAAAATTATTTTTATTTTTTCCTTTTCATATTGTCAAAAGAGATTATAACCCCTTGACCATATGAAAAACCCTGCTCACTCCCAGCACATATGTCCGTGACTCACTGAAAGGTCCCGATCATGTGACCACCGTGATGGCGAATCACAGCGGTCACATGACCCTAAAACCCCTCCCGGCTTCTGAAACTCTTAAAGGGCCGGGAGGCACCGGAGCCGAGAGGTCAAGCAGGGTATACACGTATCAAATTCATCCAGTTATTATTATTATACAGGATTTATATAGCGCCAACAGTTTGCTCAGCGCTTTACATTATGGTGGGAGACAATACAGTAACAATACAGTTCAATGCAAGAGGAATTTGAGGGCCCTGCTCCTTGGAGCTTACAATCTAGGTTCATCAGGAACCGATCAAATTTCAATGTGTGTGTATCCCTACTTGTTGTACAGTCCTGCAGGAAAAACAAAGTTTGATCAGCACATGCACCCAATGGCTGCAGTGCTGATCAGTGTATTTTGCTGGGGTAGTCCCTGGTGTCAAAATACAAATGGCATAGCAGGGGAGATTCCCACATCCACGTTGCTTCTGTGGATGCAGGAATCTGTCAGGTTTTATTTTGGGGTTTTTTTTTTTTTTTTTTTTAAACCCACTGGTTGAATGAAAAAAAACTCTGTGTGTACCTAGTTTAAGAAATATCCTCCAACCACAGCTACAGAAACAATGCAATGTTTGCTTTCATTGCCTGTAGGAACAGTTTGTTGCACTGCACTGCCCATTCACATATACTATATATGAGTAAAGAATGCATTTTGGGCCCATTCTGTTAGTATAAATCTGGCCATAAATGGATCAAAATTTTGGCTGGTTCAGCAAGGACTAGACAAATGACGATCCATGTGTGGGCGCTCCAGCTCGACAGAAGTTGGTTTAATTATTGGCTTCCGTTCAACGGGCTTGTTATAAATTTTCCCTTGAATGGCGGCTGCAGCCAATGACTCTCATGTAGCCACTGAGAGTCCCCACTGTCAGATTACAATGTCTCAGAGGGGAGGATTCCTCTATCCATGTCAGTTGTATAGATTGAGGAGTACATTTTGTTTTTATTGTTCAGCCCACTGTCTGAATGAAAATAAAAATCTATGGCCAGCCTAAGTCTTCATGAGTGAATGATTAATCACAAAGAAGATAATCATAACTTTCTTTCTTCTAGTTGTCCTTCCTAATTTGCACAAGTTAGCCTTGGTAAACAATCAACAGTCGGTGGATTCCAAGAGGCTTGACATTGCTACATACTTGTTTGAAGCTTACAGTGCTCTTTCCTGCTGTTGTATCCTTTTTCATTCTGCATGACTAACACCACATTGTAGAAGTATTCAGTAGAATTGTAATCTGTTTTGTGCACGGCGCCTTTATATAATGGGTATTTTATGTTTTGATTACAGACTGAATTTGATTTAAACTAGGCTGTGTGTTGCCATTCCCTTGGCTATAGGAGTAGTTTGTTGTTCTACTTCCTTTTATCTGCACTCATTTGCTGTATCTAAAACAAGTGTATGCGCTTGTATTTTGTATGCCTTGGCTGTGTCACAGTTCTGTGTGATTAATGACTTTCTACAATATAATACATGTAATATTGGATCAAGGTGTATTTTTGGTCCTGTTTGCTATTTGATTTCTTCTATCTCAATTTATAAGCCCATAATTGTGCCATTTAAGATGTATTGACATGAAAAAGACAACAAAGATCCCTCTTTTAACCGCCTCCCCCGCCATATAGTAATATGACGGACGCAAGGCGGTTCTCTCGTTCTGGGAGGACGTCATATGACGTCCTCCCATTCTCACCGCGCATTGTCATTCAAAGTGCAACAGCGCTGAAAGCTGGAAATTGGCCTGGGCAGGAAGGGGGTATAAGTGCCCTGTAGGGGCTTGTGGTTAAAGAACTTTGTGTCCCATGTCATCAAAGAACCAAACTTTACCAAAAGACAGATTCTACATAATATCCAGTAAAACAGATGGGATATAAATTTTGGATTTAGTCCCGTAACATTAAATTATTATTTTTTTTTTTTTCCCCTGTTTCAGCCGGGAACTGGATTTTTATTCTGCTACAGTACTTCAAGAGTATGCAAGTGGAAAATGGTAAAATAGTTGATTTTTGGTCAGCCAATGGGCATTGGCATTTTTGGCAATCTAAGTCTACTCCACTCTTAAATTGTTATATTAGTGCAAGGTCATCTATTTATTTATTTCAGGTACTTATATAGCGCCCTCAATTTTACGCAGCACTTTACATATATATTGTACATTCACATCAGTCCCTAACTCTCTAAGGTCCCTAACTCACATTCATACATACACATACTAGGGACAATTTAGACAGGAGCCAATTAACCTACCAGCATGTCTTTGGAGTGTGGGAGGAAGCCCACGCAGTCACAGGGAGAACATGCAAGCTCCAGGCAGGTGGTGCCGTGGCTGGGATTCGAACCAACGACCCTTGTACTGCCAGATGGAAGTGTTAACCATTTAGCCACTGTGCTGCCCAGATATCTATCAGACATTACTTGATTTTTTAAATATTTACTTGTCTCCTCTCCCTGTCAAAGCAAAGTGTCAGGTTGTAAGGCTGCCCTGTTTCCTTGCTTAGGGCTGGTTTGCATTCTGGATACATTTTTGCTTACAGATCATACCATGCTCTGTTCTGGTGCAGTTTGATGCAGTTTGCCATTGTCCAGTATGGTTCTGTGCAGAAAAAAGTTCTACTTTTTTTTTTTTTTTTTTTTGTGCAGCGGAAACTGACTGTACTGGTATGAACTAGGGCCATTGGAATACATGGAAAACACTGTGCATGCATTTTTGATGCAGAAAAAAACGTACTGTACTGCATCTAGTATGAACTAGCCCTTAGGGCCAGTTCACACTACACAAATACTCTCCAGGTGCATTCCGGATACAACTTTGCTTACAGATCATACCACACTCTGTTACGGTGCAGTTTTGATGCAGTTTGCTATATTTCAGTACAGTTCTGTGCAGAAAAAATGCAGCATGTTCTACTTTTTTTTTCTGTTCTGAAAACTGACTTGAACTAACTGCACTAGTGTGAACTAGGGCCATTGGAATACATGGAAAACACTGTGCATGCATTTGTGATGCAGAAAAAAAAGCACCCTGAAATGCATCTAGTGTGAACTAGCCCTTTAGGGCTGGTTCACACTATAGAAATGCATTTCAGATGCGTTTTTGGCTCGTTCCAGTGCTTTTTTTTTTTTTGATGCGTTACAGTTCATTTTTTCCTCGCTTTTTTTTCTTCAATTTAATTGCATTTTTTTTTTTTTTATTTATTTATTTTTTAGCTACTTTTAGCTACTTATATAGCACTGTCAATTCATGCAGCACTTTACCCATGTATATATTGAACAGTCACATCAGTCCCTAACCCTCAAGGGGTGTACAATCTAAGGTCCCTAACTCACATTCATACATACACATATTAGGGCCAATTTAGACAGGAGCCAATTAACCTACCAGCATGTCTTTGGAGTGTGGGAGGAAACCCACGCAGGCACAGGGAGAGCATGCAAACTCCATGCAGGAGGCACCATGGTCGGGAATCAAACCCATGACCCATTTACTGCAAGGCAGACGTGCTAACCACTAAGCCACTGTGCCGCCCGCATTTTACAGCATTCCACTAAAGTTCTGTGCAGGAAAAATGCAGCCTGTTCGCCTTTTTTTTTTTCTGCATTCAGGACGCACTGGAGCTGCAAGCACTGATGTGAACTATGGCATTGACAACCATATAACCTTTCTGTGCATTTTGGATGCAGAAAAAAGCAACTTCGGGCCAGTTCACACTACAAAATCGCTCTCCGATTGCATTCTGGATAGGTTTTTGCTTACAGTTCACACCACTCTGTTCTGGTGCAGTTTGCCATGTTCCAGTATGGTTCTGTGCAGAAAAAATGCAGCATGATTTACTTTTTTTTTTTTTTTTTTCTTCTGCACCAGAAACTGACTGCACTGGTATGATCTATGGCTAGCCCTTAAAGCAGAACTTCACTCTCTCAATCACCACTGACTTAATTTTCATTTTTATGCTGCTAGCATTAGTAATTAGGAAAGTATATTATATTTACTTGTTTTAAACTTTTTTTTTTTTACGTTTCTTCAGTTACTTCCTGGTTTCCATGCCTCTGCAAGTTATGTCATGCATCCCAGCAGTCTTGGGGAGGGGGGGTTGAGAGCAGATTCCAGGAAGTGAGTGATGCATGAATCTGCCCTTGCTCAAGATGGCCACTGCCAGAAATACCAGGGGGTGGTTTTCAAAAAGATTTCTCAGCAAAATAAAGCATGGAGACATGGATGGATGGATGGGTGCTTTGAATATTAAAAATGAATTAAATAGCATTTTTGGTTTGTGGTGTTCAGATGTAGTGCAGTTCTACTTTAGGCAGTGTTGATTAGACCTCCAAAAGACTGTTTATAACAAAGGGTTGTTCAAAATACATAAAAGATAAGAGGCTAAGGGCTCGTTCACATTTGACTGTTTTACCAACGCTTGCCAAACGCCCCTATAGCGTTTGGCAAGCGTTGGTCCAGCGTTTGCGGAGCGGTTTTTAACGCTCTGCTCGGCAAACGCTCCACAAACGCCGCATGCGTGGTTTAGCGGCAGTTGCTAGGCGTTTGCCGAGTGTTAAAAACGCCCCACAAACGCCTATAATGAAGTTTAAATGGTGTTACCGCCCTGCAAACGCCCCGCAACCGCGTCGCGACCGCACCGCAAACGCCGGCTGGGCGTTTGCGGAGCAGCACCATAGACGAGAATAGGAGGCTTCAACGCCTCCTGACTCGACCAGAGGCATCCGTTTTGCCGCGAAGCAAATGCTCCTGTTAGAACAGCACCATGGGAGCGACGCCATAGACTATGGAGCGGCACCATAGACTAGAATAGGAGGCTTCAACGCCTCCTGTCTCGACCAGTGGCGTCCGTTTTGCCGCAACGCAAACGATCCCGTTAGAACAGCACCATGGGAGCGACGCCATAGACTGTGGAGCGGCGCCATAGACTAGAATAGGAGGATTCAACGCCTCCTGACTCGACCAGAGGCGTCCGTTTTGCCGCGAAGGCTAACGCTCCCATTAGAACAGCACCATGTGCTGCAATGTGCAGAATTGTCCGAGGCGTTTGGGAAGCTGTAAAAACGCCTCTCTGCTGCCTGCACACAACGCTAGTGTGAATGTAGCCTTCGTGTCTTATGAGAAAGTTTAACTGCCTAGCATGAAGCAAAAAGTTCTACCGTTACAGGGAGAGAATACAAGTGATAAACACGTCCAAGAGGGCTAAGGCTGCACTATTCTAACAACTAAGAGGGGAGATGCAGGTTCTTACAAATATCTATTCCTGACTTGCCTTTAAAGTGTTTTTCCATTTTCAGTTACAAAAATGCAGTATTCATTTATCATGAGTAATGTCCAGGAGTCAAATTCCACCTTACTCCTTTAGACTGATAATAATGAGCTGTTTGAAACCAGTTTTACAAGTCTGCATTATTCTCTGTGAACAAAAACGCAGCCCCTGTCCTGAACTGTCCTAAGGCTGGCCTTACATTATACGATTTTCTTGATAAATTTTCCTTTAAATTTGGATCAAGAAAACCATATAATGTAAGGCCAAACCTAAACACTTTCAGTTTGTAGTGCAAGGGCCTGCCTGACTGCATACAGAGTCCAAAGTAAAGGAAATTGAGTAAGAAAATTGTATAATGTATGGCCAGCCTTACACGTGGCGATTTTTTCCATCCATGCTTCTTAGATGCAAGTTCTGTTGGGTTGACCGTTTTCCATCTGGCTCCTTTTGACAAAAGTTGATATTTCCAATCCAAGTGTTGCTGACAGGGCCACCCATGAAGTAAATTTCAACGTTCCATAGGTGTGTGGCCAGTTTTAGAGACCGTGTGGTCGGCCATTACTTATCATGTGGGAACTCGCTTCCAGTGGTAGAGCTTTTCTTGTTAAAGCACACAGCAACTCGCTTATTGAAGGGCCTTTTTGCCCAATTTTATTTAAAAGAAAAAGTTCCATAAACAAAAATGCTTCCCACGCAGGGGTATCCACCATCAACCACATGAAAAACATTCAGCCTTTTGGCTCTCTCAGGTACACCGCTTTGTCTGTCTCCTACAGACTTCTTCCACAAGGTTGTTTTGCGCACAGCAAACCTCTAGCACACAGCTAGTCTGGCTTCCACCTCTACTAGGTGAGGTCCACCTTACTCCAAGGCAGAGACCTCCTGTCTGCGAAGGTAGAGCCCTCCTGACTCCGTCTGCCGGAGTGGAGCCCAGAATCATGGTCTGGCCTCCACAAAAAGGCCTGCACACACCTGTGCAATCAGCGCACTGGCTGCTCTCAAAACATGGGCCCAGGATTGGAGATTTCATCCCTCCCAAATCTCTTAGAAATCTCCAGGCTACAGGTCCCAAAACAGGCTTTACAAACCAAAGAGGAAACTGATAAACCAGTTTCCTCTGCATTGAGAACTGCCTGGAGCCCCTCAACCTGTATGGTTGAGAATTCTGGATCTCCATCATGATTTCCACCGTGGCAGGATACCGCACTGCCACAATCAGATGAGATTAATAGTAGAGATGAGCAAATTATTCAAAAATTCGATTCGACTGATTCGGCGAATTCGTGAAAAAATTTCGATTCGAGTCGAATATATTCGCCGCGAATTTAACTTATAAAAGGGTGTTTCTTGACAGATTACGGGCCTGGCAGCAGCATGAGGAAGTCGGTACGGGGGGGCCCATGGCAGATTACGGGCCTGGCAGCAGCAATGGGAGGCCGTACAGGGACCCATGACACACTCTGGACCTGGCAGCAGCATGAGGAGGCGGTACAGGGGCCCATGACAGATTACGGGCCTGGCAGCAGCATGAGGAGTCGGTACGGGGGCCCATGACACACTCTGGACTTGGCAGCAGCATGAGGAGGCGTACAGGGGGCGCATGACAGATTACGAGCCCTGGCAGCAGCAACTTGGACAGGAGGACGTTCAGCTTCTGCACCGTCGGGTGCGTGCTCGCAAACTGTTGTCTCTTGGAAACGGAATTCCAAGAAAGACTGCTGACGGAATCCGTGAAGAGGAGTAGCAGGAGAAGGAGCATCTGAACGAGCGGAATATGCCAACAAGCGACAACAGGGGCCCATTGACAGATTACGGCCCTGGCAGCAGCATGAGGAGTTGGTACGGGGGGCCCATGGCAGATTACGGGCCTGGCAAGCAGCAATGGGAGGCCCGTAATCTGCCAGCACCCTATGACAAAAAATGGAACACACCAGCAGTGTGTGAGGAGACCTGAAAGTGGCACATGGCAGAGTGTGGCGATGGAGACAGCAGCAATGGGAGGCCGTACAGGGACCCATGAGAGACTCTGGACCTGGCAGCAGCATGAGGAGGCGGTACAGGGCCCATGGCAGATTAGGGGCCTGGCAGCAGCTATGGGAGGCCCGTAATCTGCCAGCACCCTATGACAAAAAATGGAACACACCAGCAGTGTGGAGGAGACCTGAAAGTGGCACATGGCAGAGTGTGGCGATGGAGACAGCAGCAAGGGGGGGCGGGGGGGGGGAGGCCGTACAGGGACCCATGAGAGACTGTGGACCTGGCAGCAGCATGAGGAGGCGGTACTGGGGCCCATGGCAGATTACGGGGCCTGGCAGCAGCAATGGGAGGCCCGTAATCTGCCAGCACCCTATGACAGAAAATGTAACACACCAGCAGTGTGAGGAGACCTGAAAGTGGCACATGGCTGAGTGTGGCGATGGAGACAGCAGCAATGGGAGGCATCGTACACTGGACAGGGACCCATGAGACACTGTGGTGGACCTGGGCAGCAGCATGAGGAGGCGGTACAGGGGCCCATGGCAGATTAGGGGCCTGGCAGCAGCAATGGGAGGGCCCGTAATCTGCCAGCACCCTATGACAAAAATGGAAACCCTGGGCTGGGGCAGGTGAGAAACCGCCGTATCTTTATCAACGGTTTTTTCCCCAGGCAACCGAATGGCGACTCTGCATATGCTGACGCAACGCTGTAGTCCCAACATGGGACCCCCCCTGGCCACGCTTGACTTTCTGGCCACATAGTCGACATACGGCTACGTTTACTTCCTTCGGGCGGCCCTTGACCGAAAAATTGCCACACCGCCGTCCGGTAGAGAAAACTTTGGCCCCCGCTACTCCTCACTGGCTGACTGCTACTTCCTCCGTGCACACCGGGCACCACTACTGGCCGTGGTGGTATAGGCACTGCAGTGGAGTGGTGCTCTACTCCGTGGGCCGTTTGGCTCCATGACACTGCTGCGACCCTGCTGCCTCCTGGCAGCAGCAATGGGAGGCCGTACAGGGACCCATGACACACTCTGGACCTGGCAGCAGCATGAAGAGGCGGTACAGGGGGCCCATGGCAGATTACGGGCCTGGCAGCAGCAATGGGAGGCCCGTAATCTGCCAGCACCCTATGACAAAAAATGTAACACAACCAGCAGTGTGAGGAGACCTGAAAGTGGCACATGGCAGAGTGTGGCGATGGAGACAGCAGCAATGGGAGGCCGTTACAGGGACCCATGAGAGACATTGGACCTGGCAGCAGCATGAGGAGGCGGTATAGGGGGCCCATGGCAGATTAAGGGCCTGGCATGCAGCTATGGGAAGGCCCGTAATCTGCCAGCACCCTATGACAATAAATGGAAACACCACACCAGCAGTGTGAGGAGACCTGAAAGTGGCACATGGCATGTGGCGATGAGGACACTGCTGGACCTGGAACACCAGCAGCATGAGGCTGCAGCATTTGGGTGCGGTCACAGGGGCCCATGGCAGATTAGGGGCCTGGCAGCAGCTATGGGAGGCCCGTAATCTGCCGGCAATCCCTATGAGCCTTGCCCCGACAAAAAAATGGTAACACACCAGCAGTGTGTGAGGAGACCTGAAAGTGGCACATGGCAGAGTGGGTGGCGATGGGAGACAGCAGCAATGGGAGGCCGTACAGGGACCCATGAGAGACTCTGGACCTGGCAGCAGCATGAGGAGGCGGTATAGGGGCCCATTGGCAGATAACAGGGGCCTGGCAGCAGCTATGGGAGGCCCGTAATCTGCCAGCACCCTATGACAAAAAATGGAACACACCAGCATTGTGTGAGGAGACCTGAAAGTGGCAAACATGGCATGAGACACTGTGGACCTGGCAGCAGCATGAGGACCTGGCAGCAGCATCGGGGAGGCGGTACAGGGGCCCATGGCAGATTAGGGGCCTGCTGGCAGCTATGGGAGGCCCGTAATCTGCCAAGCACCCTATGACAAAAAATGGAACACACCAGCAGTGTGTGAGGAGACCTGAAAGTGGCACATGGCAGAGTGTGGCGATGGAGACAGCAGCATATGGGGAGGCCGTACAGGGACCCATGAGAGACTCTGAACCTGGCAGCAGCATGAGGAGGCGGTATAGGGGCCCATGGCAGATTAGGGGCCTGGCAGCAGCTATGGAGGCCCCGTAATCTGCCAGCCACCCTATTGACAATGAACAAAAAATGGAAGCACACCTGCAGTGTGAGGAGACCTGAAAGTGGCACATGGGCAGAGTTTGTGGCGATGGACGACAGCAGCAATTGGATGGCCGTTACAGGGACCCATGAGAGACTCTGGACCTGGCAGCAGCATGAGGAGCTGGCGGTATAGGGGCCCCATGGCTGAAGATTACGGGGGGCCTGGCAGCAGCTGTGTGAGGCCCGTAATCTGCCAGCACCCTATGACAAAAAATGGAACACACCAGCAGTGTGAGGAGACCTGAAAGTGGCACATGAACTCATTTTTGGGGCATGATGCATGGCGGATTTAGTCAGTTGTGTCAGGAACTGGTGGTTTGAAATCCAGACTAATCCACGCCTGATTCATTTTCACAAACGTGAGTCTCTCCACACTTTTGGGTGGACAGTCGTGTCCTCCGCGGAGTTACAATACCTCCTGCCGCACTAAACACGCGCTCCGATGCCACGCTACTGGCCGGGCATGACAGCCTTTCAAGGGCAAATGCAGCTAGTTGGGGCCAAAGGTCAAGTTTCGTTGCCCAGTAGTCAAGGGGATTGTCTACCTCGGTTGGCAGGGTGCTGTCCAAGTAGGCCCCAAGCCTGTTGTTTGAGGTCCTGCTCCAGGTCCCACCTGATGCTGCTGCTGCTGCGGCTGGTTAGTAGTTTCCTCACTGCGCTGGTGAAGAAAGCTACTCGATCATCGACTGCAGACTGAGGCAGCCGCTGCTGGTGGAGCTGCCACTGCTCCTACCACCCCACCCCTCCCCTGCTGCCATGGCAGCGGAACGCGAGCGCACAGGGCCCACAGTGTCTGAGAATGGACGTTGGCGCACAAAGGCAGAGACCAACTGACTACATAGGTGGTTTTTTATAGTACGTTATTTTGGCCTCCCTCTCAGCAGGTGTGAAAAAGGCCACCATTTTTTGAACGGTAGCGAGGGTCCAACAAGGTGGACAGCCAAAAGTCATCCCTCTGTCTGATGGTTATTATTCGGCTGTCGCTACGCAAGCAACGAGCATGCTATGGGCCATTTGTGCCAAGGAAATGCGAGGGACTCCCTGCCTCCATCTCACAGCATACTGCCACGGTGCGTCTGGGTCCTCTGTCTCCTCCTCCTCCTCTACCAGATGCTCCTGCTCCTCCACTCCTGTCCGCTGAGTGGAAAAAACCACCCATTTCACTCAATAATTCCTGAGCACCAATGTCCTCCTCTACCTCCTCCTCTTCTTCCTGTCCTGCCCCCACAGGGGTCATGTGGCGTTGAGATCTGTGCGCCACGTCTACCGCACCCTGACCAGCCATTGTTAACAGCATTTGTTCCAGGACGTGCAAAAGAGGAATGACGTCGTTCATCCCATAGTCCTGCCAAACTCACGAATAGCGTGGCCTCCTCAAAGGGGGCCTGAGCAAGCGGCAGGTGTCACGCATGAGCTTGCCAATGGCTGACAATCGAAGTTACACACAGGGGGATGTACCCTTTATCCGCTTGTAACATCAGGAAATCGGTGATGGCCTTTCGCTGTTCGTAAAGGCGGTCTAACATGTGTAGGGTTGAATTCCACCTTGTTGCAACGTCGCAGATCAGGCGATGCTGTGGGAATTCCGTTCTAGCCGCTGCAGCTCAAGGAGGGTGTGCTTTGCGGTGTAGGAATGGCTGAAATGCATGCAAAGTTTACGTGACATTTTAAGGATGTCTTGCAGTGGGATGGTGGATTTTAGGAACCGCTTGACAACCAGATTGAACACTGAGCATGCAATCGGCGCATGGCACAACCTTCCTTGACGCAGAGCAGACATCCATGTTCTTTCCGTTGTCGGTCAACATGGTTTCGATTTTCAGTTTGCGCGGAGTGGAGACAGCTATCTGTCGATTTCTCTGTTCATTACACTCAGAAGTTCCTCCCCTGTTGAATACGTTCGCCAAGGCATACCAGGTGCAGCACAAGCGTGACACCGTTGCGCCCTGCACATGTGATATGCCGGTGGGTAATGGGGACTTGGCACGGGGTGGTGGCGGCTGAGGACACGGCGGGAAGAAGAGGTGGTAGAGGCGGACATCTTTGCCGGACCAAGGACGTCAGCAACTTGGACAGGAGGACGTTCAGCTTTTGCACCGTCGGGTGCGTGCTCGCAAACTGTTGTCTCTTGGAAACGGATTCCAAGAAAGACTGCTGACGGAATCCGTGAAGAGGAGTAGCAGGAGAAGGAGCATCAGAACGAGCAGAAGATGCCAACGAACTCCCCTCAGCAGAGGTGTTGGAGCCTTGACTGGCTGATAGAGGGCGATTGACGTCGGGTGACGGAGCAAGTAACGGAGCGGGTGATGGAGCGGGGGCTGGGGCAGGCAGAACCGCCGTATCTTTATCACGGTTTTCCCAGGCCACCGAATGGCGACGCTGCATATGCTGACGCAACGCTGTAGTCCCAACATGAGCCCCCTGGCCACGCTTGACTTTCTGGCCACATAGTCGACATACGGCTACGTTTACTTCCTCGGGCAGCTTGACAAAAAATTGCCACACCGCCGAGTAGGAAACTTTGCCCCCGATACTCCTCACTGGCTCACTGCTGCTTCCTCCGTGCACACCGGCACCACTACTGGCCGTGGTGGTAGGCTGCAGTGGAGTTGGTGCTGTACTCCGTGGCCGTTTGCCTCCACTGACACTGCTGCGACCCTGCTGCCTCCTGGGCAACCCACCGACTGTTTTGCTCGCTGCCAAGCTGCCACCCTCTTCTCCTGATGATGCGGAAGCAATAGCCTGATGACGACGAGGCTGCCAAGTGCGATCAGCCTCATCATCATCAATTAGGGTCTCCGCCTCACTACTAGCCCCCTCGGCTGCGTGTGGGTCAGGAGACAGACCTGTCTCTAGACCGGCTACCGAGCCACTCTCCTCGCCACTACTTCTTCGCCTGGCTGCTGAAGAGGCGGATGTCTCCCCCCATTCCTGACCGCCCTCTGTTAGCTCTTCCTCACTGTACAGTGGGGCTGAGCCCACAGCATGCGATACTTCGCTTGGTGAGGGAACACCAAAGGACAGGGGCAGGTAGAGGACACGTGATTTCAGTGGGCTTGCTCCCGGGCCATGCCAACTAACGGTTGTGTCTGACGTACCCACCGACCGTTGGCTGTAGGTGTCAGAGGTGACCTGGGAAGAGGAAGACGACCGAGCCAACCAATCGATGACGGCAGGGTTGTCGGTGGAGACACGACCGCTGGATGACACCGGGAGCACTGGCCTCTGGCTGCGACTAGTGCTGCCTCGACCCCTTCCTCTGCTGCCACGTCTGCTCGCTCCTAAAACATTGCCTCCTCTGCCACTCCTCTGCATGTTGTCTGACATACTCTTTAATTAAACGATTCTGTGTCCCTGAGTAACAATTCTGTGTCTGTCCCTGAGTAACAATTCTGTGTCCCTGAGTAACAATTCTGTGTCCCTGAGTAACAATTCTGTGTGTCCCTCAGTAACAATTCTGTGTCCCTCAGTAACAATTCTGTGTCCCTGAGTAACAATTCTGTGTCCCTCAGTAACAATTCTGTGTCCCTGAGTAACAATTCTGTGTCCCTGAGTAACAATTCTGTGTCCCTGAGTAACAATTCTGTGTCCCTGAGTAACAATTCTGTGTCTGTCCCTGAGTAACAATTCTGTGTCTGTCCCTGAGTAACAATTCTGTGTCTGTCCCTGAGTAACAATTCTGTGTCTGTCCCTCAGTAACAATTCTGTGTCCCTCAGTAACAATTCTGTGTCCCTGAGTAACAATTCTGTGTCCCTCAGTAACAATTCTGTGTCCCTGAGTAACAATTCTGTGTCCCTCAGTAACAATTCTGTGTCCCTCAGTAACAATTCTGTGTCTGTCCCTGAGTAACAATTCTGTGTCTGTCCCTGAGTAACAATTCTGTGTCTGTCCCTGAGTAACAATTCTGTGTCCCTAAGTAACGTTTCTGTGGCCCTAAGTAACAATTCTGTGGCACTAAGTAACGTTTCTGTGGTCCCTAAGTAATGTTTCTGTGGCCCTAAGTAACGTTTCTGTGGCCCTAAGTAACGGTTCTGTGGCCCTGAGTAACAATTCTGTGTCCCTGAGTAACAATTCTGTGTCCCCTCAGTAACAATTCTGTGTCCCTCTGGCCCTAAGTAACGTTTCTGTGGCCCTAAGTAACGATTCTGTGGCCCTAAGTAACGTTTCTGTGGCCCTAACTAACGTTTCTGTGGCCCTAACTAACGTTTCTGTGTCCCTAAGTAACGTTTCTCTGTCCCTAACTCTCTCCCTGAATACAGCCAGGTCTGCCTCTGTTGAATGACTGGAGGCAAATGGAGAATTCTTAAATGGCCGCCATTTATAGCTCGACCATTACACAGTGCTGGCTGGCTGCTGATTGGCTAATGCGATCACATGTCATGAATGAATGCATTATAGGTCAGCGCGCCTTGTCTGCGCGCCTTCCCAGACATCCCCGCTCCGTCGCCGCACATGTCGCCGCCATTTTTAGGCGGCGCGAATCGAAATTTTCCTAATATTGGAAACGAATTCCACTTCGCCTAGTTCGATTCGCTCATCTCTAATTAATAGTTTAATTTTCCAAAATTGCAACTCCTTTTCAACAGGTTTCTTTGCCAGCTGAGGCTCCGAAGACTTCTCAAGTCATGCTACAGTATGAATAAATCTGTGCGACAGGAAACCAACTTGCGAGGCATTTGCCTATTGTTGCCACATAAACTCCAGGACAGTCTACTTAAAATTAGCATTGCTGATTGCGAAAGAAGCTGGTTACCTCAATATAAATGGTACATTTGTGCTTCTAAAGGAGAAGTTCCAGTGATGTGTCAATCAATAACTGCTTCCTTGCCGACAACTTCCTCTTTTACTCTCATCCCGCATTTGGCATTTTTTTATTTCACATCATTTGTAAAGCAAACTATTTAATATGTGTTATTCTTTTGTGGCACATTAAGAGCTTACTGTGGTCAAAGAGATTTCTATATATTATGTACTTTATCTTAACGAATTGTTTTCATGCCATTGACTGCTGATTGAAGACATTCTTGGACTATTAGAGCTGTCATCAGCTTAGCTGACGTGGAATTCTTCTGAATCTAGACATATGCAGGCTTCTTTTAGGAGAATGTGGTGCTGATTTCACATTCTGTAATCTTGTCTTCTTCCAAAGCCTATCTATAACAAATGTAATATACTGCAGCTCACCAGTCTTTAGATGTGGTGGCTGCATTAGTTTTTTTTCTTTTCAGGGATTCTTTATTTTCATCTGGCAATCCTGCAAAAAACACCCTTCTGTCCGCTCATATTTTCGCCACTGTAACTATGGGGCAGCCATGTTGTTAAACAAAAAAAAAAACGACCCAAGATGGACGCCAGCACATGAAGCCTCACAATCTCTGGGAAAAGGCTAGATGGGGCCATATTGCTGCAGCATGGATTCCACTGGCAGTTTGTCTTACCAATGAAAAACTATATAACTAAGCTGAAAATGTTTCATGCTTAACCTGGAAAATACAGTGAGGGTACATTATATACACTACAGGAGCTGGTTTGAAGGTCCTGATTTAGAGGGGAGTGGAAGGACAACGCTGGCCCTGCACGGTGGAATGTTGGTCCGGAGGTTATAGAGGGGGTGTAGGATCCCTGAAATTCCTAAAAAGGCTTACTACTCACCATTATCTGGTGAGTGCGGTTTATGTTGGTTTGCACTGGTGGAAGGTGGAAGCATATTTGCACAGAAGATTTTTTTCTTCTTTTTTCTATACACTGTGAAGGCTGGGAAAAGGATTTGTGGACTTTTTAAATTCCTTTTTATATAATCTTTATGCACTAAAGTGCTTTGGACACATTCACATTTGTTATTATCATTGTATATACATTTTTTAAGAGTGTCACACGTATAGGTAATTTTCCTCACATTTATGTATTTAGTGTGATTTAAGTGATTGGTATAGGTATTATTTGCGCTGGTTAATTTTGTTTTTGATGTTGTTAAACATGCTGGATTAACTACTTCCCATCCAGCCCATGTACATAAACGGCCGGACGAGAGCAGTGCAGGAGCAGGTTGCCATTCATAAACGGCACCTGCATTTACAGCCTGTACGCGCTCCCTGGGAGCGCACGGCACCGCGATCCGGTGCCAGCTGTGTCCTCTGAACACAGTGGAACACCAATCGCTGTACGGGACCTCCTGTGTGAGGTCCCGATCATGTGATCACTGATTGGCCAATCCGTGATCACATGAATAGTAGTAAGCAAAATGTCATTTCCTGACATCATTGCTTACTACTTGTGAAATCTGTAAATGATCACAGAGGTCACATGGTACAAGGCTATTCACAACAGCCTTGTACCATGTGACAAACTGTGAACAATCACAGCTCTTACAGTTCTCAATGGCTGCAAGAATGCAGCCAGAGAGAAGGAGAAATGATTGATTTCACAGCCTTTATGTAAAAGCAATCAGTGTAAAAAAAAATAAATCTTTAACACTATGGTGATACTGTACTGCTAGGGTAACAGTATGTTTAAAAAAAACAAAACGGCATAAATAATATAAAAATAAATAAAGTTTGAAATATTATAATTTTTGGTTATATAAACTAATTTTGGGTTATTTTTATTTTTTTTTTACTAAAAAGATAACTGAATAAATTTTGGGCAAGATTTATGAAGAAATATTATTTATTTGCTAAAGTTTATACGAAAAACACTTTTTTTAAAAATTCTTAGACTTTCATTTTATGTAGCAAACAAAAAATCCCAGTGGTGAATAAATACCAGAAAAATAAAGTTTTATCTGTCTCAAAAAAATTCTAAAGTCATATGGGTAAGTGTCTGGACTTGAAGTGGTTTGTTGTTTGTCCATCTCCATTACATTGTGGGACAGTTAGTTTACACAAGAAAGATGAGGATGTTTATGCTTTATTATTTATTGCAAAAGATGCAAATACAATTATCCAGAATTTATATAGCGCCAACAGCTTGCGCAGCGCTTTCCAAAATGAAGGAAACGGAGGGCCCGGCTCGTTAAAACTTACAATCTAGAAGGATCAAAATAAAGTAACTCTCAGTGTCAGCTGAAAATGATACAGGAGCTGATCATGAAATAACATAGAGTCTCAGAACCATAAAGAACAATTAACCATCTTGAAAAACAAGCATGTCGGTACCTGGAATTGATGGCTACTTACAGATACATACACAGGTCTACAGCAGTATCACTAATAAATACAATGTCCTGGAAGAGGGGAAAGACTAGAAGCCTGCCAAATTACTTTACACAGTAAGAGTGGAGGAACACCAGACATCCCAAATGTTGTTCTATTCCTTGGGGCAGCTTCTATACTCAAATTAAAGCTTTTCATGAGGCAAAATTTGATTGACTAGTCGCATCCATTGGTGCACCAAAGGAGGTGTAGGTTGGATCCATCTAAGTGCTATAGATTTACAGGCTAGAAAGTGTTTCTCTCGACAAAATTCTCATGTATCACGGCCAAAGCTCTTCATCAAGAATACCCAAGGGACACACCTCCGGGGTCAGGGGCACTGGTATGGACAATATTGTGGAGAGAAAATCAAAAGCAATCGGGTGAGATAAAATTGGTGGATCATAAATAATTGGATCAATCTGTTAAAAGCAGGAGATGCATTTAAATGGGAAGAGCATGCCTCTTCCTATTCCTCATCAGCAAATGGGAATAAATATCAGAGATCAATCCCTTAGGACCTTGAGATCTAAGAATGCCTATCAGCGGGTACTTGGAAAATCAATTAACGGAACCACAAATTGAGCATGCAGTTCATGGTAAACTTGCAGATACCTATAGAAGGCTGTGTGTGCCAGCTCATAGTTTATACTTTCTGTTCATAGATGGACACTGCATCTCTAGTAAGAACAGGTATTTTTCGTTACTTGAAAATGGGCTTAACATGAAAAAGATAGACAAATGCAACCCCCAAATCGAAGTACTGAATAGTTGCCGTATATTGCATTATGGGGGGGGGGGGGGGGTTAAATGCATTTTAAACCTCATGAGAGAGATATACAGTAGGTATTAGCATTGCAGACCTCCAAATCAATACGAATTATTCTGTATTTTTCTGATGCTGGCACTTTGAGTCAGCCTTTAAAGTGTAACTCAAAACTTTTTTTCGTTTTTGTTTTTTTTGTTTTAGTTTTCAATAAAGTCAGGACTCCCAGTCCTCAGAGACGTAACAGAAACTAAGTGGAAATCTCCTTAAAATGAAGGCAAATGCCACTTCTGCCATTTTCGATGGAACCAGTGTACCCATTGGGAGATATCCCCTCTAGTTCTGTTCTGGTGACAACCATGACATGCCCCTCATTTTCTTTCCTGGCGACATTTGTCCTCAGAATAAAAAAAATGTTAGATCTTCCCATCAGGGAAAACAATGCAAACTTGACAGGTGTTATAACTCCACTCTGTCTAAAAGCAGAAACCAACATTTAGGGACCAATTCACACTGACTTGCACTAAAATGCATGGAACATTTCCATCCATTGTAGTCTCATTTTAACGCTTGCTGATGTCCGATGATACATTTTGATGTGCGTTGACATGCACAGCATTATGGTGCGAATAGGTCACATTGGACATTGTTTTTCAGATGTCCATTCGTTGATCTGTGTTTTACAGCTGCACTAAATTGCAGATCAACACACTGGTGTGAATTGGCCCTTACTTCTGGGGTTATAGTTTAGAGGTCCTTCAGCCTTCCTGGGAAAAAAAAATAAAAGTCAGCAGCTACAGGATTTGTAGCCGCTGATTTATTAACACCTGTCCAAGGATCCAACACCACCCTCACCCACACCAATTATTTTTATTGCCAATTATGTCAGGAAAGTTAATGTGTGTTGTCTACTTTGTGTGTGTCTTTGCGTATTTGACAGACAATAAATAATGTGCCAACATTCACAGTATAAAGCAACTCTATCAACTTGTAAAAAATTCCTTGACAGTATGTTGCAGTCATATCTGAGGAGTTAATGGTGAATCACTTCTTACCAGGACTCAGGTGTCTACGTGCTGATATGGAACAGCTGTCCCCCGAACATGAGGTAAATGCTGGATTTCTGTAATTGCTCGAATGACCCAATAACAGATCGGTTAATTAAGTAAAGTATTTTTGACAGGTTTATGGTGGTAGGTTCCTAGGTGCAAGCGGAGGGTACAGGAGCACAGTCCGGCCTGCTGCCAGCCACCTGTCACTCTGAGAGGCTGATAGCTGCTGTGGCTGGGCAGTGCACCAAGCAGGACTTGCATTTAGGGCAGTATGTACCCAAGGATGAATACCCCAAATGCAGACTGCTTGGATAAAAGTTTATACCACCCAGATGACTTCCATTGCGTTTGGAAAAGCTAAACATAAAAGTGCCAGTGGGAATGAGGCTTAAAGTGTTACTAAACCCAGGACCCTGCGTTCACTATATCTGGTCTCCCACAGTACACACAACATGGAAATACAATTGTTTTAGTAAATATAAACTGCTAAATGCCTTTTCTCATCAGTGAGTTACAGCAGTCTTGTGACTTCTATCAGTGTCCAGCTGAGTACCTGTTAAAGCTTGTAGGAGGAGTTTACATTCTGCTCTGACTGTCCTATGAGGCTGCATAACCCCTGACCCTCTGTCTGAACAGTGCTGATTGGCCCTGTGCTGATCCCATGCGCTCTCCCAAAGAAAAAGACAAAACTCTCTAGCAATACACACTAAACTGAGCATGTGCAGAGTGACTCCTAGAGCTCTGTACTATCAACAGATGGATTCGGACAGTAGCAGAAGGGGAGGATCAGAGAACACAGGATTAAACATCCTTTTAACACATTGTGGATGATTAACCCCTTAGGTTCCACAGTGAGTATAACAAGCATGCTTTACTGGATATACAAACTGATTTTACTGGTGTGGGTTTAGTAACATTTTAACATTTCCCTCCTCAGTTTGTGTGTCAAGCAGTATCAAAGACTTCAGCAAAATTCAAATTTATTGCAAAAGCATTATCAACATTTATATCTCGACTGAGGTCTCTAATGAATTTAGTTAGATTTGACATATGTTTCAAAAAAACGGTTCTCTGTTAGAAGATTGACTAATATACCTTCATATGCGGTCCCACACAATACTTACACACAGGGGCGGACTGACCATTTGGAAACTCGGGCCCTGCCATGAGATGCCCCGGTACCTTTTTCATAGGCTTTTTTGAGTTTGGGCAAGGACACAAGGGCCCCGGGGGCCCCATGAGTTGTCAGTCCGCCCCTGCTTGCACACAACAGAAGTCAGGTCTGTCTTTATCAGCTGTTTTTTTTTCTCTTCTTCACCACTTGCCATCCTCCTGCTGTTTATAAACGGCAGGACGGTGGCACTCCAGGGGCGGGTTGCCGTTCATAAACGGCACCCGCCTTTTCTAGGTGTGTGCGCTCCTTGGGAGAGTGCAGCACCGCGATCTGGTGCCCGCTGTGTCCTCTGGAGCCAGAGAGAAACACCGATCGTCGGACGGGACCTCTGTAAGAGGTCCCGATCATGTGATAACTGATAGGCCAATCAGTGATCACATGCAAAGTAGTAAGCAAGATGTCACTTGTGACATCATTGCTTACTACGTGTGAAATCTGTGAATGATCACAGAGGTCACATGGTACAAGGCTATTCACAACAGCCTTGTACCATGTGACAAGGTGTGACCAATCACAGCTCACTCAGTATTTCTCAATAGCTGCAAGAATGCAGACAGAGAGAAAGAGAAATGATTGCTTTTACATCCTATATGGGTGTAAAAGCAATCACTGTTAAAAAAAAAAATCTTCATCACCCCCCACAAGTAGTACAGTGTCACCATGTACTGCTAGGGTGACCGTTTGTAAAAAAAAAAAAAAAAAAACCCATAAATAATAATATAAAAAAAATGTTTAAAAATTATAATTTTTGGTTATAAACTAATTTGGCTTATTTTTTTTTTTTTACTAAAAATATAACGGAATACATTTTGGTCAAGATTTATGATGAAAGATTATTTATTTGCAAAATTTTATAAGAAAAACACTTTTTTTTTTTTTTTTTTTTTTTAATTTTTTAACTTTTTCATTTACATAGTAAAAAAAATAAAAATCCCAGCGGTGAATAAATACCACCAAAATAAAGCTTTATCTGTCTCAAAAAAATGTAAAAATTCATATGGGTACAGTATTGCATGACCGTGCAATTGTCATTCAAAGTGTGATAGCGCTGAAAGCTGAAAATTGCCCTGGACAGGAAGGGGGTAAAAGTGTCCAGACTGGAAGTGGTTAAATAATATGAGGGGTGTTCAAGTTAAAGGAGAACTTTTAACTTTACAGTCATGCTGGGATGCTAGTGTGGCGGTACTACATGCAGTAGTAAGTGGTAAGTGTGTCATTACTGATAGGAGGCACACATGTCTGGGGCCATCCAAAGACCGTTAATCAAGATGTCAGACAACAGCGGTAGTGCACGCATGGAACAGCTTGTAGTGATGACGTTTCTTGTGAACGAAGGTGTAAAATGGTGGATATCTACAGAAGACTTCAAGCACAGTGCGGTGATGAGAGCCTCAGCTGCAGTAAGACATTTGGATGGTGTAAACGTTTCAAAGATGACTGTCCGTTAGTGATGATCCCGGCCATGGTGGTTCCCAGCCCACAGCAGTCATTCCTGTGAACATTCAGTGCATGGAACACCTGATCCTGGATAATACACAAAACCTGTCATGAAACTGCACAAGAGACCAATCTTTCTGTGGGAACGGTGAACACAATGATGACGGAGTGAAGTAGGCTGTCCTAGGATGGTTCAGGCGTACTGACAAATCTTTCTATGCAGAAGCTTTCCAGGAATTAGTTAAACCCTGGGATAAGTGTATACATGTAGCAGGGGAGCATGTTGAAAAATAAATGCAGTTTCCACACCCATTTGTTCTTTTATTATATAAATGCAAAAGTCCCGGTTCAACTTGAATGCCCGTCGTAGTATGACATCTGCTGTATGACAGTCTTCTGGGAACATCCGAGTTGAGAGTGTAAATAAAGAAGTGCAATGGTTTATCGTTTGCTGAGCTGCATTGTGTTCATACACAGGGGGATGAATGCCATGCTGGTGAGGTGCTTTAACTGTGATTAGGTGTAACCACACCGTGTCCTTTATTAAAGGGATTGTAAACCCTCACCTTGTAAAGCAACACATTCAGTTTCACATAGAAATGAAAGGCAAAACATGTGTATCAATATATATAAAAAAAAAAAAAAAAAAAGAAAACAAAGTTTATGTAATAACATTCCCTTTGTCCTCAGCTGCATATGAGCTAGGGAAGGAGAAATAGCAGTACATTGATCTTCCCAGTAAATGGCTGTGCAGGGGGGATGTGTCAGGACAAGTCTGATCATTGGAAGAGAGCAGGCTGAGTTCCCAGCACACCTAGAGAACTGTCCAGTGTTTTCTCCAGGAGGCAGGAACACCAGGGATTTCACACAAAAGAAGCAATACAAAGAGAACAGGACCTTTTATTTATTTAAAACCTTTATCCTCCCAACCCCTGTTGCTGTAACTACTTATAAAGAGTTAGCTGAAGTTTGGCTTCACTTTGTCAACATATCTAAATCTGCTAGTGCATCTAACACTCCCATTGCTCCCAGACTGACAATGCTGCTGTCCACTGTGCCCCCCTGTGCTCATTTATCTAGAGTGGGGGCACTCTAATACAGGAGATGTTATTAGCCAGATCACCAGGTGAAAACAGAGGGGGGAAAAAAAAGCCTAAAAAAAGAAAACAAATGCAGACACCGCGTCTTGGTAAGCTGCAATATATTACATTTTTGATTTTAGGTTTAATATGGTTCTAAAGGCAAAAGGATTTTTAACTTTTTGCATTCTATGCATGAAGATAAAGAATCTTCTGGGGCCCCCTTCCCCTTCAGCCCCCCTTAGGGCTCGTTCACACTTGAGTGTTTTTCCAACTCTTGTCAAACCCCCCTATAGCGTTTGACAAGCGTTGGTCCAGCGTTTGCGGAGCGTTTAACGCTCCGCAAACGCCGAATGCGCAGTTTAGCGGTGGTTGCTAGGCGTTTACAAAGCATTAAAAATGCCCCACAAATGCCTATAATGAAGTTTGAATGGTGTTAACGCTCTGCAACCACGTCGCAAGCGCCGGCCGGGTGTTTGTGGAGAGGCACCATAGACTTGAATAGGAGGCTTCAACTCCTCCTGACTCGACCAGAGGCGTCCGTTTTACCGCGACGCGCCGCTAACGCTCCGGTGTGAACAGCACCATGTGTGCAAAGAGTTTTCACAGGCGTTTGGGAAGTGGTAAAAAACGCTTCCCAAACGCCAGTCTGCCGCTTGCAAACCTGAACGTAGCCTTATACTTACTTGAGCCCCATCTTGATGCAAAGATTGCATGAGAGCTGGGTCTCTCTCTTCTCATTGGCTCATACAACTTGGAAGTTCAGTGTACATGCTATGTAAGCTTGTTAGCTGGGACACAAATTGATGTTTTCTCAGCCCCTCACCAAGGTGAGCTGCATACATTGATTTAATTTTTCCAGTCCATCTGCTGATACTCTTAGATGTGCTCCTCTTTTGTTTTGTTTTGGTTTTCAGTTCTATGTTAGAAACTAAACTCAAGCATGTTCATTGCACAATGGATATAGAAGTTGTAGTTACAAAATGTCCTGTGTTCATGAAAAAAAAAACTGTTCAACCAAATGTGATCAATTAAAATGTCTACTTAGTGATTTGGTTGATATTGTCCCTCAGAATCAGGTATTGATGAAGCAGGAATTGATCGTGGATACGCATGTTGTGAGTTTTAATTGTTACATATCTCTCCTTTTGTAAGGTTATTTTAAGCTCCATGATAAAAGAATGTGAACAGAAGGTGGAAAACAAGACAGTCCAGGAGCCACAAGGGTAGGTGAAATGATTCACTTACTAAAAAAATAATTGAATTCTTTTTATATAATCTATAAGCCTGATTTCTGCTCTGTGGTAGCCAGAATATTGTTACTGCGTTTAAATCTATTGTGAGCCCAGATATTCAGATATCTTTACAATTCTGTCTAAATTGAATAGATTTAAATTGTAGCGCATGGGTAGATTTTACAAATGGATCCCCTGTGCTATATTTTATGCTGTTATATGGTGATGGATTAAATCTACCGCTTTAGTTTAGCTAGAGTAGATCTGGTTCATTGAAATGCCAGAAATAAGAACTCCATTACAACAAATTCGATTCAGACCTGCCCTAGAAAATTGAATACTGGAATCAAGTTCGTTGCTGTTGGGAAATTACAATATTTTATTGCTTCTATTTTAGTACACAAGGCAATTGTTTTGTAATGCAAGAATGCGAGGTGTTTGGTAACTGGTTGGTGCTATGCGACAGACACTATATTTTCCGAACCCATACGCTATTTATTTAAAGCGGAGCTCCACCCAAAAGGGGCAGTTCCGCTTACTAGTACTAGTCCCCCGCTTCCTGTGAGGAAATGGCCCCTTTGGGGAGTTGGTGCCCAATTTTGACAGATACCCACACCCACTTTGCTGCGACCGCCTAGGCAATCGGAAATAGAAGTTGTCCTCCTACCTTCCCTGTAGTCTTCTGGGAAATGTGACAGGTTCCAGAAGACTATGGGACTATTTAAGAAAAAGGGCGCAGCGCTAAGGGCAACAAGATAATTTAAATATACACAGATAAGCATATAAGTAATAGACAACATACAAAATGAATTAAGTGACTATCATGTGTCAAGAAAAGTGCCAAAAAGTCTCTAGAAATAGCAGGGTGGTGATCAAAAACGTGTGTCTTCTGGTGATCAAATGTATGAATTACACACTCACCAGATGCATAATTCAAATATGCATGTAGAAAATAGTAATCCTCTGCAGATATCAAGGTGAGGTCATCTTAAGGGTAGATAAGGCGTTTCAGGGTCACCATCTGGGCACATCTGTCTGTCCAGGCTCCCCTATGGATCATGTGCTTATAGGCTATAAACACCTCTCAGCTGCCTTCCCTGGTGGCTCTGCGGGTGGTGGACTCGACAAGGGTCCTTTCAGCTCTTCAGACAGGACTTGTCTGATCCCCAGACCGAGAGCCATAACATTTTCCAGAAGACTATGGGACTATTCACAAGGCAAAGCACTACTCGTGCATGCGCAGTGGGCACCCAGCTGTGAAGCCACAAGCTGTCACAGCTGGATGCCAGGGAGAGCGGATGGCCGGTGAAAGCGGCTGCCTTGAGTGCACCACTGGATCGTGCGACAGTGAGTGTCTGTTTTTTAAAAGTCAGCAGTTAGTTTTTGTAGCTGCTGAATTTTATGTTTTTGGTTTAACTGGACAACCACTTTAACTATCAGCCTTGATTCACATATATATGTGAATTTGATGTTTTAAACTGCATCCAATTTGCATGACGTGAACCAAACTAGCTTTCTATGGAGCCGGTTTACATATGTGCAGACAGTTGCCCTGCGATTTTAATTTTTTTTAAACCATCAGACTTGGTTCACATGTGTGCAGGGCTGGTTTCAGTGCGATTTGCAAACAGTCCGGTGCAATTTCATAATTTAAGTGTATGACACTGGAATTCAAGTGTGAAAATGACACTGGAATTCACACCCTGAGCCAGGCTGAAAATTGTACATGACTCTTTTTAAAATTGCATTGCAGCCGGGCCACACAGTTGTGAGCTGGCTCCATAAAATGCCAGTTTTTGGTTCACATGTCATGCACATCCAGTTCGCATATATATATATATATAAGTACCTGAAAGGCAGCTTTAAAAAATAAATAAATATATGTGAACCAGGGCTCAGGTACAATTTTCAGTCCGGTTCAGATGCGATTGCCATTGTCATACACTTTAAAAATGTGCACCTGAATCGCACCTACACTGTTGAATGAAATCGCACCAGATTCTGTTTACAAATTGAAACCAGCCCCCCGCACATATGTGAACCCGGTTTTAGTTAAAGTAAGCTGGTCACAATCCTTTGCATTGAATATATGATGAAAAATGAAATGGCAAAGCTGGAGAGATATTGGCAGCTGAACTGATATACAAATCTTAACCTTTCCTGAGAGAGTCAAGCTTGACCACTGGTGGGACTTAAAGAAAGCAGTTGCAGTGCGCAAGCCTAAAGAATGTGACTGAACTGGAGGCCTTTGCCCATGAAGAATGGGCGAAGATACCCGTAGTTAGTAGATCGCTGCAAGACACTTGTGTCAAGCTATGCTTCACGTTTAAAATATAACTGTAAAAGGATGCTGTACTAAGTACTAAGATTGAATGTCACTTGGGGGTTGAATAAAACTGTTTATAATGCTGTGAGCACAGAAAAGAAATTTGTGGTTATTTCATTATAACTGTTATGTTATTATTTGTCTGACCTACAAGTGCCCTCTTATATGTAATGTAAATGAATAATTTTGGGACACAAATGTATATATTATAAGTACCTGAAATAAATAAATATATATATGTGAACCCAGGGACTGCTGCCAGTGTCATACACTTTAAATACTCTATACACTCCCTCTATACACGTCCTTATTCTTAGACTGTAATTCAATAAATATGTAGGCTGCCATTGCTGACCAACTCCTAGAAAATGGTAGTTTCCTGGCTGTTATGCTGACCACCAGCATAACATAACATTTTAATACTTTGAGTCAATTATCTTAGACAATCTGCAGATTGGGGGGAAAATTTTTTTTAAAGCAGAAAAATGCATATTTACATACAGGTCCTGGGTCAGTATGTCAGAGTGTTTAAGCTAGAGAGCCAGCAGCAAGGCAACTGGCATTTAGGAGGGGTCATCAACAGCAGCAATTATGTATCTGTCATGACAGGCTTCCTTTATTATAATATGTGGGCCACACTGACCAGTGGAGTTTTTTTGTAGAAGCATATACTGTCACTACAACTGTCTGTATTTCTTGATCAACCTATCATTTTGACATGCAGATTGCTATGAAGGCAACTATTGAATATGTACTTTTCCATCATATGCTCACCTGATTGCTGAGTGTTGGTCCAGGGATGGAGCTGGGCCACCCTTCATTCTCTCCGCTAAAGCAACCAATCAGATTTCAGTCTGCCATAATGATATCACTGAAAAGTGATGTTGTTATAGGTTACTGTACTTCGCATTTTACAGCTTTATAAACTTACTAAAAGCAAACTACAGCCTGTAACAAAAAAAAAAATACTAACCATTAGATACCTAAAAGGTAACATGTACTATAAGAGTACTATACCGTTTTTAAAAAAAAAAAAAAAAAAAAAAGGTTGTTTCAAAAGACATTTGGCACCAACTCTGTACTGTTGGATCAATAGTTGTGTTTTAATGCATTTAGTCCTTGGACTTGGAGAGTTATTCCAAAATAGTATAAATGTTATTTTGTAATTCTCTTAGAAAATTGGACTTATTCCCAGCTTTTGGTTTTGCAGTTGAATTATTATAATTGTGCAATTTTCATTAGCTAGTAAAATGTTCATCTTTTTCACTTATGAGTATTTTATACCTAGAATTGATTTTCATCATGGTTTTAATATTAGCTGAAAATACCTACATGTGCTTTTAAATTAAATGTTTGTCTGGGCAAAATTAAAAAACTGCAGAACATCTGTGCAATAGACAAACAGAGAGAAATGTAATTGTTTCAGTATGAAAATCCCTCGCCTCTGGAACATTGGGTGCCAAGCAAAGGGTGCCCAGCCACGTTTTAGGAACTCCATAGGAAACCATGAAGTTTCGCAACGATGACAATGTCAGATCACATCCATCCAACTTTATTAAACCAGGCATAATACACTGCATCCCCACCTAGGACCGTCTCCCCCAATACAGGTTTGATCCCAGAGAAAATCTTTGCAATCAAGCCTATATCAAAATGTTAGAGAGGGGTTGCCCTAAGCTGGGCTCCATTATGTTATTTCCAGGTTTAGTAAAGTTGGATGTTATCTGACAACATTGGTGTACGACGTGCTGCTTTCTTATTGACATTTCTACAATACATGCAAACTTCACCATGTTTTATAATTGCAAGTACACAAAAATACTTGCTTATCTTGCCAGAAATTCAGTGTAATCAAAACTTTTTTTGAGCTGTCAACACAATGCCTCAGCTGCACTGAAATGCTAAGCAGAGCTATCAGCCCTACTTAATTTTATCTTGCTGAACTACAGAATACATCTCTCTCCCCCCAATATCCATAACACAAGAGGGAGGGGAGTTCTGCAGCCCAGATAGGAAGACTGAGCAGGGCTGACAACACTGCTTGGGATTTCGGTGCAGCAGAGGCACAGTGTTGTACATTCAAACAGGAAGTTACAAACGCATTGGATTTCTGGCAGATCAATAGGTATTTTTCTGCACTTTCAGCGTTTTGTTAAAGTACGGAAAATGGACACATGGCCATGTATTGCAGAGATGTACTGATTTTTTCTTAGAATTAGGTAGGCCATAGATTATACAGCTTTCTTTCCTGCAACCACATGAAAACGCTCAATTCTTTCATCATCAGTCAGTGTTCGTGGGGTAATCCCTCCTGCTGAGTTATTGTGTTCTCCCGCTGTGGTAGGTAAGCTCAGGGAGCGGATCCGGGAGAACACACTAATTACTGCTAGCCACTGGCAATAATCACATGCTAAAAATCCAGCATGCTGGTTGTACCAAAGTCAATTCAGCCTGACCATAGATGGATCGAATCTCAGCCAATATTTCACAATATTCTAATTTTCTGAGATTGTGGATTTGGGGTTTTCATGAGCTGTAAGCCATAATCATCACAATGATGACAAATCACAGCTTGAACTATCTTGCTTTGCATGTAATGAGTCTATCTCATATATTAGTTTCACCTTTTAAGTTGCATTACTGAAATAAATGAACTTTTGCACGA